CCTCCGAGCGCACAATTAGGCAGTGTTTATTTACTAATTTATAGTACTTTTTTATAGCAAAAAATATATATCTCCAAATTAGAGTTTGTTGTAATATAGAACTCAACAATATACCAATCTCTTCAGTATTTCACAACGACTCAACAACATAAAAATCTCTAAGTAGTTAAGAACGACTCCTTTTTATACCTTTTGAGAAAATTCAGAACGAACTTTTTTTTTTTTTTTGAGAACGCCTCTTTTTTTTTTCTTCTGAGAAAATTCAGAACGATTTTTTTTTCCGGCGACCACCACTACACCGCCGGAAACAATTACGTGGAGGAGTGATGAATGCCGCCGCCGATGGTTCTTCCTATGGTTACGATGCTCTCTATTCGCACTTGGCCGCGCTCAACCTCTCCGGCCAACCCTCGCATCCGCCGCACCCTGCTTACGACGAAGGCGCTTCTTCCAGTCACGGAGCCGCCGGCGGAGTTGGTTCCAATATTTGGAGATGTGAGCCATTGCTAAACGGATTCGTAGATTTCAATTCTAACGGGGACGATACCATCAACAGAATGAGGGCTAACTCCGCAGCGAGAGTTTACATGCAACCGAATCCGAACGAAAATCATCTTTATAATAATGTGACCGGTGCAAATTATAATTACAATATTAATTATAATAATTATGGGAGGAGCACTCTGAATGGTTTCGCAGCTGGTTATCAACCAACTCGTACGAATTACAGTCTAAACGAGTTTCACAATTCCAATGCCAATTTCGATTTGGGACATGGAAATCGTCAACTCAGATACTCGACCAGGAATAACAACAACAACTCCTCGGGTTTCGAGTACATGAAAAACAGGACCGAATCGAATAGTGCTCCAACTTGGATTTCGAACTTTCGATGTGGCTATAGCGGTTCGCTTAATCGGTTGGGGATGCGCCTCGATTCTTTGTCTTTGGAAGAATTGAGGGGCAAGTTAGTCTCGGTGGTTATGGATCAGTATGGAAGCCAATACTTGCAGAACAAGCTTGAGGGGATCGATCCAAATACTGTCGAGTTCATCTTTTCGGAGTTGAAGGGTCACATTTGTTATTTGATGGTTGATCAAGTTGCTAATCAATTTATCCAAAAGTTTTTCAAGGTGTGCAACGAAAACCAAATCACCGAGTTTCTCTATTTGTTGGTCACTGATCATGTGAAATTCAAGGACATTTGTTGTGATATGCATGGGTATGTTCTTTATTATTTAATTTTTTTTATGCAATTATTATTGTCATTTTAAAATACTAATTGATTTTTTTTATTTTTTTTTGTTATTTTTTTTTTTACAGAACTAGGGTTGTGCAGAAACTGCTAGATAAGCTGACAACACCAAACCAAGTAGCGATTGCTTTATCGGTATTGAGGCGAATCACTATCGAGCTTACGAGAAGCATGAATGGTCAGCATGTGATCCAACATTGCTTGAAAAGCTTTCCTCCCCAAGATAATGAGGTAAAATTTTTAATTTATCTTTTGTTTGATATTAGTTCATATGCATATAAGGAGTTGTCAGAGTTATTAAAAAAATCTAATGTCCAGAATTATTCCAAACGAACTTCGATTGAAAATACCATGGAAAGTACTGTATGAAATGTTAAGGTCATGAACAGGAGGCGCCATGTAGTAGTTGATTTTTTTCCTTTTTGATTTTGCTTCCCTCTTTTCTGGAAACTTTTTTAATTTCATTCATCTTTATGTTGAATTCTGTGAATCAGTGAATGAACTATTCTTGCGTCCATCTATTTTTTTTCTTTTTAATCTGATCTAAGGTGCGTAACCAGAATATGAAATAATCGAGTTATTAGTAATTAAATTTTAAATTGGAATAGAGATTTCAATTTTCAAATTTTCTCTTTTTGAAATTCGATCTTTCGTCTTTGTTATCTTAATATATTGGAGTAAATTAAAATTAATTACCAAAAATATAATTATTTTAGGAAATGGTAAACGTAGTAATACTTTTATAATATTTTGTATAAATTTTATGATGTGAATACATGAATCTCTACAATTGGTCGACAACGGAAGAAGTTGATCATGATTGTGGGCGTGTCACTGTTAAACATCATTAATCATTTTGTGAAAATTGTTGTTAGTTGTTATGCATATTGTTATAAAGTGTAAAGAAGTACATCGGGTGCATTTATCAAACTATTTTTTTTTTCTTTTATATATGTAGAACTTGGATTTGATTATACATTGGCTATATATTTTCATCGTTTACTTTTATTAGCTTTCACTAATTTATTTTTTTATATATTAGAATTTTTTTTAACAAAACTCCTTTTATTTTTTGCGCGTTTTTAAAAAAAGTATGTTATTTTAATAGATTTTAGTAAATCTTTTTATAAAAAAAAATTAACTTCAAGTAAATAAATATTACATATCTGATGTAACATTTCATGACATTGTTGCAAATATTGAGTCATGATTGTTCGAGTACAATTTGGCACAGATAATCTTGCAAGTGATAGCCGACAACTGCTTGGCTATTGCCTCCGACAGAAGTGGATGTTGTGTCCTTCAACCATGTGTAAGCTCTGCTCAAGGTGAAACACGCAATCGCATGATTGCGAATCTAACAGCCTATGCACTTTTATTGTCTACAGATCCTTATGGGTAAATTCTTTTTTTTTTCTCCTTTTAATAAATATTAATAACATTTCGACTTTAACCACTTGTATTAATATTGTCTGTTTATTTCATTTTTTCTCATTTTCTTTTTAGGAATTACGTCGTGCAATATATGGTAGACATGCCCAAAGTGAAAGTACAAATACTGACACAACTATCCGGAAACTTCGTTCCACTCTCGATGGACAAGTATGGAAGCAATGTGGTGGAGAAATGCCTGAAAGGGTATAATGGGAATCAGCTACTTTCTATACTTAATGAAATTATGAACAGTCCCAATTTTGTCCAACTTCTTCAGGACCCTTATGGTAACTATGTCGCACAATCCGCACTGATTTGCTCGAAGGTATATCATTTTTTTTCTCCATTTTATATATTATTGTTATATATTTCTAACAATAACTATAGTCAAGTGCTTACAAAATTGAAAACTTTTTCTCGTTTTCTTTTTTTTTGGATTTGAGTTGCAGGGTGCTGCTCGAGATGCTCTTACAGAACGTATTCATAGCAACTATGCGTTCTTGCACAGCCATCCACATGGAAAACGAGTTCTTGAACGTGCAAGATGTTGCAAGATTTATCGTGCATGATTGTTTGTTTAGTATTATAGACTTTTATTGTTGTTTGTCCTTTGGTTTTATAGACTTTTATTGTTGTTTGTCCTTTGGTTTTCTACTTAGTAGAGAAGGTCTTTGCGTTGCTCCTTATTTATTTTGGACTTTTGTTGTCTGTTGAAAACTCTCATGTCTGTGTTGGAGACTTTGTTATTTGTTTGATTTTGGTTTGCTAAATAAGTGTTTCTTACACTGAATTGTCGTTTTTATTCCCCTATAATAAAATGACTGTTCCGTTGTTTTAATAACTGGATATTGCATTTTGATGGTGTTATATATATATATATATATATATATATATATATATATATATATATATATATATATATATATATATATATATATATATATATATATATGTGTGTGTGTGTGTGTGTGTGTGTGTCTCTATTAAATTTCGCAGTGAAATTTGAACTTATTGATAGCTACACGTTATATTTCACCGGGCGTAGCATCTTCGACACCAAAACCGAATTTTTCGCTAGTCAGTTTTCTATGTGGTTTTGATTCTTCAAAAAGAGGGCAAATTTCTATGAACTAACAGTATGAATAAGAAACCAAATCGGCATCAGGACACAAAATCAGTATTTATCACATTAGTCACAATTCAGTCGGTCGATGAAATGCTACACCCTGGCCTGATAAATTCACCGGATGATTTGGATGATTGTACACTAATAAAACTCACTATGTGTTTGTATTATGTATGTGTAAATCGATAGTGCAAAACCATCCAATATATTTCACGGATGTGCAAAAACACGTCATAAGTTTTCAATTCCTTCTTTTTGTATTTATATTTATATGGTATCAGTTTACAGATATCATAATAAATAACAAATTCCACATTTAAACATAACGTTCACTTTTTTGTCGATAAAGTTTACAAGTACCACTATGCAACTTATTTTCCACCATTACCTCGAGTCTCACCATGCACCATCTACAGAAAAAAAAAAAAAAAAAAAAAAAAAAAAAAAGAAGAGGAGTACGGATACGTTTGGTACACATTGGAAGTTCTCAGCTCCTGTAAGATCATTTTCAGCATGAGATAATCAGTAATTGTCGATATATATATCATCACACTGGTATGACTATAGATCTGCAAAGAAATTATTCGAATTGCCCAAATTCTGTCCTTTGTTCCCATTTTTCCTCTTGGTCCCTGCAAAGAGATAGCCAAAAAAAAAAACCCGAGATGATGATTCACATCATTTCTATTTGAACAAGATGTATAAATATATATACACAAGTGAAAAGTGCATAATGTCGGTTTTCTTCCATGGGAGAGATTCAGGGGTTCAAATCCCTCTAGTGTGTATGTGTGTGTGTTGTAGCCATGTTATGTGGCCAATTTATTTAATTATGTTTTTTTAAAAGAAAATGAAAATAACACTTAAAAAAGTCAGAGTCATGTGATAGAGCCCTCAAAATGGCAATTCTCGTGTGTGAGACAAAGATTTCCATTTTCCAATGTTTGCATCATCTTTTCTTGTTACGATTTTATCGTCTAACGTAGTTTGTCTGCCTTGTATGGATGATCTTTAAACCATGTAATATTATGTAAGAGCTCTAAGCAATGACTGTACTAAAAATGTCGACTATTATTGCAACAAAGACATAGGATGTACCTTTAGAAGATTTTGGGATACTATCGTCTAAATCCATCCCATCATTATCGCAGTCTGAGGAAGCAGATTGATTTGTCGTAGACACTTTCAGCAAATCCTCCATATCCCATAACTGTATTCACATGACTTAGTATATTCAGAACAAACGTTATGTACATCGATATAGTTCGTAAATTAAAAAGGGGGGCTATATATATAGGAAGAGATACATAACAATAAATCACACAAATTATATTGTTTGATGGAGAGAGACACTGGCCTTTAATGTATCATCATGCGAAATGCTGCCGAGGAACTTTTTATCATGAGAAAAAGCTGCACCACCAAAATTACACCACTAGTAAGAGATAATTAATTTATCAAATTAATTGATGCAAATGATATCTTATCAAGAGAATGAATAAATATTTTTTTTATACCAAGACGTTCGACAGCTGTCGAATGCTCGGCAATCGGCTGAATTATTCTGTTCGGCAGTATACCTACCAAGCTAAGGAAAATATGGGAAGGTTAAGTCAATCCTCAAATTCAAAATCATGAGATAATTGGAGCAAGGGTTTCGGTTTTGCTTATAAAATCTCACCTGATGATTCCATTCTCGGAAGCAGTGATTACTCTATCTTCGTCAAGCTTAAGAAGAAAATGAGAGAAAATAAATAGATGAATACCTTTCATAGGATATAGTGGGTCAAAAGGACTTGAAAATGCTCGAGGAAAAAAATAATATTATAATCATGAAAAAGCACTAACCTTTAGCAAGGCATCAACAGAATTACCAGACAGGTCCACGAAACGGTCGCTGAAAATATACAAGGCATACCATAAATATCAATGTAAGCTTGAGCATTTGATGCAAAACAAAGAAGAAAAAAATTCAAGCAGGGTTGGCTATTCTATTGGAATACGGTACAGAGATGTAAAATACCTGCAATCCTTGAAAAATCCCCACGAGTACAACAATATATTTCCAGACGATGTGCTACATATAACCTTTCTACCATTCTAGACATGAAAAATAACAGTTAATTAAGCAAGTGGTTTTTAAGACATCGTAAAATTCATTTTTGTGTTTTAAAGGAGTACGCAAATCCAACCTTCATAATCACAACCGAAAACAATTCTTCCTCAGAGAACTCTGATTGACTTTGAATCTGCAGCATAATAACACAGAACAAATTCATTTATTGGCCAAATTAAGTAGCCAAAGTAGCCACAGGCAGTAATTACATTCCTCAAATTCTAAAAGAAAAGAAAGAAATACCTTGTTGCTTCTTAAATTGCAAACGGATAGACTGCCATCACCACTGTGGGAAAAGATATAAATAAACATTAAATCTAGCATTATTCAATTCCCAAAACATCTCTACAGAATGCAGCGACAATCATACAGATTTTACAAAAAAAAAAAGCTATGTGAAACCCGATCAAGATCTGAAAATCAAGTTCTTGCTAATATAAGCCCAACTAGAAGATTTAACTAAGTATATCTCAAATCTAGAAAGTCTGGACCTTAAGGTCAAACCTCCGTATCCAAGATTTTCAGAGCACAATTTGCACACACACACACAGACACACACAAAGAGGACAAATACTACCTTGTTGCAAGCAATTTCATGGAATCGGATGCAAATGTCATGTCTGATATGTAATCTGTATGAACACTGTAAGTGTTGCAGCAAGAACGTTGACGGGTATCCCATACCTGCAACACACGGTAAAAAGAAAAACCTAAATCTTTTTTTTATTAACAGTGAAAGAAAGGAAAAATGTATTTCATTGTTCAACAACATGGCGTTCGGAAAGATACATCAGAAGATGGCTGGTAAAAATGCAATAACCTATGAAAAGTAAACTCCTCTGGTAACATACCAACAGAATTTATAACTTCAATTACCAAGTTCGAAGGGGTCGAGAAATATAAATCACGACAATCACCATTAACTCGTTCGTCATAAACAACATAATTCATTATAGCAGAGTGCAGACAATTTCAACTTATGGATTTCCATCGTATATTTAAACCTTCGCTACAGTCAGTTACATGAAATTCACCTTGATACAACCTTCATCATCTCCTGAAGCAATAGTCGACTCTGTCAAGTTAACTATTCGACTTACAGGATCCCTGCATATTAGACACGCCACCCTTTAAACCCAATAAATACATTTTTATTCTACACTTATCGTTAAAGTAATCCAATCAATGGGAAACAGAAATTTTAGTTTCACGACTCACGGATGAGCATTCTCGATACGTGCAATTGCTGTGCCAGTTTCGATATCTGTGGCGAGAATGGAACAATCTAGAGACCCCGTAACTACAGCTGAACATAAATTCAATCCACAAACAGGATAAAAATCAAAATCAGAAATTCAATACCAATTATCAATGGGAAAAAAATCCAGAATATAATACACCAATTACCACGCCCTTCGTTGACGAATCGGAGAGCTCTACACGATTCTGTATGTGCTTTCACTTCCAGCACGCTAATTATCAAACGCCATCAATCAAAATTAATGATATCAAATCAATTGCATAAAAGAAATGTGCGCAATTAATTGCATATAAGTTTATACCTTTCGAGTGGAGATTCAGCAACATAACGATATCTGATGCAAAAAAAAATTGAGAAAAAAAAACATCAATAATTGCAAATTGTAAGCACAAAAACAATCTCGAGTGGAATTGAACTTACAGAAAAAGGTCCCCAGTTATGAGACAAGTGGCAACAATGTTATTTGAAGGATGAAAATCAAGGTCAAATGGAGTGTTATCTTTTCCGAAATAAGTCTCCATTTGAGATAAATATGCAGTGAATTTCAAAACAAAATTAGGCGGCGAGCCGGCGGATGGAGTTTACGGCACGGCGGGAGAAGGCGCGGGTGGTGGGTGGCGAAGAGTGAAGTTGTCGACGAAGGAAACAAACTTCAGCCCGGTCCGTTGTGTTAAACCCCATCGATTTAGGGTTTAGGGTTTTTAACAATTATATAATTACATTCAAGTCCTCCGTATTTTGCATCTAACCAATTTAACCATTTATTCTGCTTTTATTAAATTTATACCCTCGTGAAAGATTAATTGCAATAAAGACACCCATTTAGTTATTCCAAACATATATTTGTTTTAAGTAATCTAGATCTTCAAACTTCATCTGAATAATAAAGAGTGAAATAGGGGTGAGCAAGTCGGATTCATCAATCCGTCAAACCCGGTAAAACCGCCTACTAGGACCGGACGGATAGATCCATCTAGGCCCCTTTTGGTTGGAGGGATGGGGTGATTTAGGGGTGGAAATCGGACGGAATGGATCGGAAATGCCTTTTTCAGAAAATTTCCATTTTTTTCGCAAGTTAAAAATAGGTTCCAATTTCCATTGCAAAAAAATCGGAATTTCAAAATCCATTTCAATTTCGGAATCGTCGGAATTTCAGAATTTTCGGAAATTGCATTGATTCTAAATTTTTTGTTCCAAAATCGGAAATAATGGTAATTTTTAGATTTTTTTTCCCCTAATATTTTCATAATTTTCCGACAAAAGACAAGAATCCAAAACAAAGGTCAATAAGATGAAATGTAAACTCTTGTAAAAACAACATAATCAATTTACCAAAGCAAACATAGTTCGCACAAAACATGAATAGAAAAACAATTCAAAGATATATATATATATATATATATATATATATATATATATATATATATATATATATATATATATATATATATATATATATATATATATATATATATATTAATCTTCGTTTACAAAAAAGTACATTAATCTTTTCATTTTATAGAATAATTATTCTTAAATTAAAACAAGAATTTTTGACTTGATAGGGGTAATTTCGTCTTTGCCAATTTTCTATTCAAGGGGGTTATGTGCTAATTTCATACCATAAGGGGGTTATGCGCAAAATGTCAAAACCACAAGGGGGTTATGTTCATAATTTCATACCATAAGGGGGTCATGGGTAAAATGTCAAAACTACATGGGGGTTATGTACCTAATTTCATACCATAAGGGAGTCATGTGCAAAATGTCCAGACCACAAGGGGGTTAAGTGCTATTTACCGTTGTTATTATATTATACACATGCCAATTTTTAAAATATTGCTTGCTGGACCAATTCTTTACTCCTATTTTCCTGTGATTATAAAATCAGCCCTAAAATTTTCGGATAATTACATTTCCACCCCTAATAATCTCTTATTTATTATTATATTATACACCTGTCAATTTTTAAAATATTGATTGTTGCACCCATTCTTCTCATTTTCCTTTAATTATAAAATCAACCCTAATATTTTCGGATAATTACATTTCCACCCCTTGCAAGCCATTTTTATTATTATAGTATACAATTGTCCATTTTTAAAAGGGTAAATAGCACTTAACCCCCTTGTAGTTTGGACATTTTGCACATGAACCCCTTACCGTATGAATTTAGGCACATAACTCCCTTGTGGTATTGACATGTTGCACATGACCCCCTTATGGTATGAAATTAGGCACATAACCCCCTTGTGGTTTTGAAATTTTGCACATGACCCCCTTATGGTATGAAATTACATAACCCCCTTGAATAGAAAATTGGAAAAGACTAGATTACCCCTATCAAGTCAAAAGTTCTTGTTTTAATTTAAAGTTAATTATTCTATAAAATGAAAAGCTTAATGTATTTTTTTGTAAAATGAGAAATATAATATATTATTTTGTTTTTTCTATTTTACCGCACATAATTTTTTTTAAATTTAATTTTTCATTTCAATTTTAGAGAAATGTTTTTTTTAGATTTTTCCAAAAGAATAAAAAAATAAAGACTTTGTTTCTTAAAAAAATTAAAATTCGATAACAGCTATAATATAATATATTATATAGAAAATAGTAATATAATAATCATAATTAATGATAATGTTAAAGATTTTCAAATTGATTTTTAAAATGGAATAAATTGTCAATCGTACAATAACTAGTATTTTATATCTTATGTGCTGTAAAATTTAAAAAAAAAACACAATAATATATTAATTTCTCATTTTACAAAAAAAATACATTAAACTTTTCATTTTATAGAATAATTATTTTTAAATTAAAACAAGAAATTTTGACTTGATAGGGGTAATTTAGTCTTTTAATTTCCAGTTTTCTATTCAAGGGGGTTATGTGCTAATTTCATACCATAAGGGCGTTATGTGCAAAATTTCAAAACCACAAGGGGGTTATGTGCCTAATTTCATACCATTAGGGGGTCATGTGCAAAATGTCAAAACCACAAGGGGGTTATGTGCCTAAATTCATACCATAAGGGGGTCATGTGCAAAATATCCAAACCACAAGGGGGTTAAGTGCTATTTACCCTTTTTAAAATATTGCTTGCACCACCCGTTCTTTCCTCCCATTTTTCTTTAATTATAAATACAGCCCTAATTTTCGAATATTTACATTACCACCCCTTGCAAGCCCTTTTTATTATTATACTATACACCTGTCAATTTTTGAAATATTGCTGGTTGCATCGATTCTTTCCTCCCATTTTTCTTTAATTATAAGATTAGCCCACATTTTTGGATAATTACATTACCACCCCTTGCAAACCCTTTTTATTATTATATTATACACCTGTCAATTTTTAAAATATTGCTTGCATCACTCATTATTTCCTCCCATTTTTCATTAATTATAAAATCAGCCCTAGCAGTTTTGAATAATTACACTACCACCCCTTGCAAGCCCTTAGTATTATTATATTATACACCTGATAACATTTAAAAGATTGCTTGCACCACCCATTCTTTCCTCCTATTTTCCTTTAATTATAAAATCAGCCCTAACATTTTCGGATAATAACATTACCACCCCTTGCAAGCCCTTTTTTATTATTATATAATACACCTGACACTTGGTAAAATATTGGTTGCACCACCCATTCTTTCCTCCTATTTTCCTGTAATTATAAAATCAGCCCTAATATTTTCGGATGATTACATTACTACTCATTGCACATGTCAATTTGTAAAATATTGGTTGCACCACCCATACTTTCCTCCCATTTTCCCGTAATTATAAAATCAGCCCTAACATTTTAGGATAATTACATTTCCAGCCCTTCCAAGCCCTTTTTATATTATATAATACACCCAAGCTATGATGAATTTGCTTTACTTCCAAAATAAACGTTTGTAGTTGTTTATGTTATGGGGTGACTTCATTCTTGCTTTTTTCTACTGTATTGTAATTTATAATTTATGTTTATTATTGGAAAAATGAACATTAATATAACAGTTAGATGTCATTATCTATATCTTCTATTTTCTACAAAATATGAAGCTAATAAAATTGAGCAGCAGCTCCAAAATACCAGAATTTTTTGGAAACCATATTAGACATTTTAGCTCCAAACTAACAAAAACTTCACGAAATACTCGTAGAAATTTACGTAATATAATCTGCCATATTACAGAAAATTTATATTTGTGACACACAAGTAGACTACAATAATGTCCACCACAAAATTAAATTAAAGAAGAAATAAAATGTAAATAAGGCCGCAAGATGGGGTCCGAATACGGAAAATTTCTTTGTCGCCTTGTGAGTGGATGGTAGTCTACCTATCCGAAGTAGCAACCTTCGAGGATCATTCAAACCATAACCCCCTTTTATGTCTTTTGCATGTACAAGGCAAAACAAAAGTTTGTAAGCTGCAGATATCAGTCACCTACAATGATAAGACAATTAAACCTGGAACCATGCGTAGACGAGAAGCTGACACTTGATTTCTCTTACCTTCACAAGAACATCAATTTTGTCATCTTAGTCATGCTCGGTGAACCTGAGTACATGTGAACAAATGCAGCACACGTGTCAGCATCCCGAAAGTGAGATATAAAGAGCTAAAGAATTCCCTATAGAGAATTGCATCAACTGCAACTCTTGAAACAAATTAGGCATTATTTATATAATTCCTTCTTCTATAAATGAACTATTACGCAATTAGCACTACCCAAATTATATGGAGACACTACAATTAACAAAACCTAAGCCTTGAAAGCAAATTCTTGAAAAAGAAAACTCGAAAGAAATTCCTTTTAATCATTTCCCACAATAAGCTACGTGAAATGTTTTCACATTTAGTAGATAAACCTTAACCGAAAGGGAAGTAGATACAAGAGAAAATTGAGAGTTCGTGGAAATGAATGTAGCTTTGCAGTTTGCAATGACCTGTAAATATGGGAAGACTGTCTCGAGCTCCAAGACCTGTTAACCTAACCTTAACTTCGGATTTGTGGGAATGGCTTTTGGGAGATCAAATGCATTCTCTGAGACGGGTTCACAAAAATTTAATACCCGTGAAACCCGTCACGCCCCGCTATACAAAACGACGTCGTTTTGTTTATATTATGTAGTATAATAATTAATACAATACATGAATAAAATCTTACATGTCAAAACTTATATCTATAACAATGACATCGTCTCGTTATAGCTATTTTATTTTAAATCTTGTCTTATAACGGTTTGAATTTAGTTATTCTCTTTTGGATTATGGTTAAAATGTATTAATTTTAATATACTCGTGACATTTATCATTGATGTTATTCTAGTTTGTTTCAATTTAAAATTTTACGCTTGGATATCATTTTAATTTCTAAATAATTTTGTGTAAAACTTATAAATTATTAAAAAAATAACTTTTTTAAATTACGACAGGACCTGTGAAGGTTGGGTTCTACTTTAAACCCACAATAGACCCGTCTATCCTAAACCCGTCGAAAACCCATTTGATTCCTTAAAATCAAGAACTGTTGGTTGACGGGACGAGGGCGGGTTTTGCTAGAACCGGCGGGTTTACGACCAGCGCACACCCCTAGAGTGAAATATGTCTTATGTCTTCAATACAACATTGATATATAGACAGCTCTGCAAATTTAGTGAAAACAAATTTCAAAAGTATTACAAAATATAACACTAGAAGCAAAATGCCATCGAAATTACTCGACTACAACTACTCGGAGTCTGACGCGTAAGTTGTTGCGCTTTTCCGAACATTCCTAGTTGGAGCTTTGGATTTGGTGGGATTCATCGAGCTTTCACCTTCGTGTATAATAACTTGTGCTTTAGCTATTCTCTCTTCGAGTTCCTCTGTGCTGAAATCATCTTTCCCGCCGAGCTCATCGAAACCGACCTAATATTCATGTAGAATAAGATTTTGGTGTCAAGAAAGGTTTATTGTATAATCACATTAATCCAAGAATAACTAGCATTAGCGGATATATTTACCACATAATCCTCCACTTTGGCGTTCTTGACGAGAGCAAGGGTTGGAAGAACAATGATTCGGAGCTTTTCGCACAAGTAAGGACTTTTCTCAGCGTTGATTTTCACAAATCGTGTCTCGATATGCTGCTTAGCTAGTATAGCCAAATGCTTGTCCACGACCTGTAAAGTAAGCTTTGTTGGAATAGGCCGATCTGGAAAATGTACTGTAACAAGAAACTACATACACCCAAATGACTCCTCGAATACTTGGGCAAGTTTACAATATTTAGAGGCGACACTGTGAAATGACATTCACAATTCAACTTGAGAATTTACAGCAGTAAGTGCACACCGTACCACATTCACCATGATAGAATTAGCACAAAGATGTTACAAAGTTGAAACTACCTGCAACCAGAAACGAAGAAACTGACCTGGAAACGGAATCCCCTAAGTTTCGATACAGATCTATATCATGAGAAAAAGTACACCACCTCACAAGATCATAGCCCACAGGCAATCCAAGACAGATTAAATTAGCAAAAACATTCATATATCATAATGAAATTAAGGTATATCGAACTTAGATCCCATAAGGTGAAGAAGCTTTAACCCAAAAACAGAAAAAACTTGGATTGGCGGTGCAAAGTCCTACACAAAATACCGATCACTATTTAAATTCCGTACTAATAGTCCCGAAATCTTAGACATCCTAATACAAAAGCATAAACTTCAACACAATCTATGTGACGATTCACAAATTAGAAATGAAATATTACATGCTACAACAGTGAAAATCATTCCGAAAAAATCATATGCTACACCTTCCACTTATCTTCCCTACACGAATCGAAGACCCCTCAGATTTCGAGTATATACCAAACAGCAATTTCTTTAGCAAATAACACACAAACATAAATATCATCCACACCACTCCAATCAATTAAAAAGCATAGGCAACACAATGACATCATTAATGGATACCTACATCACAAAACCCACATTTTCATTGAAAATAATAGTTCAAAAAAAAAAAAAGAATTGGACATGTATAAATTTAAAAATCTATGGTAAAGCAATAACCTTGCAAGGCCAATTTTCGCGGTAAAAATGACAGACAACACGGTCGCTAGCCTTGACAACGGAGAAGAACTCCTTCTCGTTGGGGATCTCGGAGTACTCGCCGTGGCCGAGGGCGATCCAGCGGCTCCTCTTCTCCGCCATTTTCTTCATCTGGTGCAGCCGCCGCTCCCTCAACGCTTCCAGATCGTCCACATCTAGCTTATCCAACGCCGCGATCTCGTCGTCTATCTTGTCCTCCACCGCCTTCACCACCGTCAGCACTTGCTTTTCCAATATCTGACAAAAATCGCAAAATATGAAATCGTTTCAGATACTTTCTGACTTCGTAAAAATATATATATAAATAAAAACGCATTGAATGCATCTGTACCTCTTGCACTATAGGATTATCCATGGCTGAATCGACCGAAAATGTTGAGAATCTATGAAGAACTGATATGAAGGGAAAGAAATTCAAAATTGAAACGAGAGATAATTGTGCTACTGAAGCTGCTCCGGTTTATGATTTGGATTTTGGGCCCTTATTTCCGCAACTTAATTGGGCCGGTTTAATCTTACCCGAGTACCCGGTTCTCCAAGCCCATTAAGATTGTGGCCCGTTCGTTTTACACAATTTTTTCTCTCTCTCACCAATTATATATTATAAATACTTACAAAATATGGTAAATTATGATCACCACCCCTGAGGTAAGGTTAAATTACGAAGAAACTTCTCATGTTCGGGTAATTACAACCAACCCCTCAATTACGAATCTTTTTAGACGTCCACCCTTGCGGTATGAAATTTATTGGATCTTCTAGATTTATGTGGAATATTCTCGAGTTTGTACTCAAATCCCATTTGAGATCCACATTTTGAAACAAGATGATCATAAGATGTGTCTCTTGGCTTATAAATATCAGATTGTGGTGCATCATAAATAGGGGTGAAAGTCCGATGGATCGGATCGGAATTAGCCTTTTCGAAAAATTTCCAAAAAATTTCGAAAGTACAAAATCAATTCGAATTCCAATTCCAAAATGTTGGGAATCTAAAAATTCATTCCAATTCCAATAGGCCCAGAAATTTCGGAATTTCGGAAAAAAATCAGAAATTACATAAGCTTTAAAATTTCAAAATTTAGCCGATTTTTTCTAAAATGTTCATACTTTTTAAAAAATAAGAACATTCATGTACATAAAAGTAAAACTAATAACTGCTAAATTTCAGTTAAAAAAAATAAATAAAATAAACAGAGCATAATAATATCCAATAAAACTTCTAACAACAATTCATTATGTCAAAATCCTAAAACAAAACTTATAGGTGAATTTTTAGGAATGTAAGTATTATATACTATATATTATTTATAGGTGTCTTTTTCGAAAAAAATCGGAATTTTTCGGAATTAATTTCGAAATTAAATTGGATCGGAAATTCCAAATTTATTTTATATAATTCCAATTCCAATCCAAAAAAATCAGAAAAATTCGAAAATCGGAATTTCGGAAGTCGGAATGAAAAACGTTATTCCAAAATCGGAACTTTTCGGATCGGAACCGGCGGAAATTGAAAATTCCGTTCCAACTTGCACCCCTAATCATAAACTTTATTTTTGCACAAAACGAGGACAAACTAAAAAACTATCCACGGAATTTAAAAGATATTGTTGAATTTGCCACCATAATAATGGACATATAAGAAGATTCATAGTTGAGGAGGTTTGTCGTAATTACTCAAACATGAGGGGTATTTTTGTAATTTGGTCTTACCTCACGGGGTTGATCATAATTTACCCTACTAAATAATAATATGCTAATATTTTATGAATTAAGTAAAAAAAAAATTAATGATACCGAATGCAATAAACCTTCGTTAGACATTATTATGCTTACAAATAAAATTTTATTTGATTACAGAAACAGGCAAACAGCCCACTATTGATAAACAACACAAACTATAACACGCCCACAAAGTGTTCGATGAAAAGCCCCAAAGCAAAAAAAATACGAATTTTTCTCAAGGGCATTTGGGTTTGCCCTTGGAGCTGCGCATATCTCTGTAGCAGGGGCACTGGTGCTTGTTGCCGTAAGTTCCAGATGGCACGCACTTGCATTTGTCGCAGCAGATCCCGCAGTATTTAAGGCACCTGTCTTTCACACCTGCCCTCGCGCACCTCAAATCACAACTGCTCGCGCAGTAGTTAACTGAATCATCTGCATCAACATCATCAAATTCTCATCATCACTAGCTAATATATATATATATATATATATATATATAGTACTATATGATTAATTAATTAATTAATTAACTGTAATCAAGGATTTGTAATCACTTATTTATCAGCCATGCAAAAGTAGAAACACACACACACACACACACACACACACACACACACACACACATATATACATATATATATACTTACAGGACTGATCGGCTGTGGCCTCGATGGAAGTGTTGCTCAAAAGAAGGGCGAAAAGGAGAAGGCAAGCCAGGAAGAGAATCTTCATTTTATTTTTATTTTTTTATTTTTTATTTATTTTTTGTGTGTATAGAAAAATTGGAGAATGGAAATGGAGGTAAGAAGTAATGTGAGTGATGATGGGAATGAGGTGGTATTTATGGAGATCAGCTGTACCTGTGTAATGTAATGTTGTAAGGTGAAGGTTCTATGTATTTTCTGGTGTTTCCATCGATGAATATAATTAATTAATGTAGCTACACTTATTTCACCCAACTGATTTTCATTTTAAAAAAATAAAAATTTAAAGTTTGATTATTATGGCTCACTGTTTTCTGAAGTACACGCGGTTTCTGAAAGCTATTATTATAGCTGGGTAATTTATGTAGCACAGAAACGGGAAAACGAATACGAGAAAACGGCCCAAAAATTGCGATATGTAAATTTGGGGGAGAGGTGGAAATATTAAAAATATAGGAGTATATTTATGGATATGCTATGTAAGTTTTTATTTGTATATAAATTCTTTTATATATTTCCACACAAATATATTCAAAAAAAATATTATTATCAAATGTTAATTTGCAATTGATCATTCATATAAATAATTAGGGGAAGCAACAAAAATATTTAGGAAGTTGTTATTCCAACTTTTTAGAAATTGCAAAATGACCCATAAAGTGTCTACACACGTGTCCTCTAGTGTAGTAAAGATAAAAACAGCAAATTATTACATAGTTCAGTAGAAAGTAGAAACATTGAATAGTGGCAAGAAAACTAGGTCAAATTCCAGTAACTGCATTATATTCTGGCAATCGTACCCCACTTCCCATAATGCATCTAGAAATCTCTCCACTATTTCGTATTTTTCGTATATATATAATTTTATTTTTTTTATTTTTTCTATTTACATTTTTTGAAGCATGAAGTACAAGTGTACAACTCAAAAGCAACCAGTCCAGATACTTCTTTCAGTCACGTTAGATGATGAACACAGAGAGATTTGTACGTTACACGTGCCAACTTTTGAAATATTCATTATATACAATTCAATTATATGCAAAATGTACAATCTAGTAATAAAATTACAAATATATATACACACACATAAATATATTACAAGAATGTCAACCTCCCATTCCAGTAATTGAGTGAGATTTTTGCTTGTGAGAATGTGACTTGTCATGCTCACTTGATGCCACAAGATTAATCTGCAAGTATTTACGTCGTATTAAATTAAAACAGTCGAACATACCGGACAAATGCACGAACGCACGAACGCGCAAAAGGCGAAAACTATACCTTAAGAATTTCCGAATTTGAGCTCGGTCGTACATAAGCAGCCAAAACACTCATGTTAAAATCCTGTAATCAACACAAATTATTACCAGAAAAAATATAAGGTAAGGGCAATTAACTTCCAACTGACATCGTTCGAAAAAACGAAAATTTACCCTGAAAGGATCGCCTCTCAAAGATTGAACGAACATTGATGCCCCTGCTCCTTTACCCTGATAAATAAAACCAAAATATTTCAATCGGATTATAACGAAATCGACCGCCTACGTAAATAACTGACGGAGAAATTAAAGGGAAGCAAATTCTGCAGACCTGCAACGAGACATCTTTGAGCCGCCTCCCTGTATTAGCACAACAAATCCTTACTACGTGTTCGTCGCAACTTCCGCTTATTACATAATCTCTTCCGCTCATGTAATAAGATCGAGTATAGTTCTGAGAACTTCCAGTTGAAGCTATACCAAAATCCATATGGAGCCTCCCATCAACAGCAAGCAGCTGTTTTACCTGGCAAATAAATAATAATAACAAAATTAAATTAATAAAAAAATAATTTAAAAAAAAAAAAAAAAAAAGTGGTTACCTCATTGTCAACAGCCGAAACAAGAAGATAATGATCGTCTGGGGAAAAGCAGACCATCACATTTCCTCGGGTGCTCGAGGCAGTATAACAAGGTTGGGTTGGCTTTTGTCTTATATCCCACATCTTAACATCGCGGTCAAATGATGACGTGGCGAAGAGAGACGGGGAGTGGTTCGCAAACTTGACCACGTTAATATGCGCTCGATGCATATCGGCAAAAACTTGCAAACGTCTCCCACTGCTGATATCGTATAATGCGACGTCTTTCGAGTATCCGCTCGCAACGAACAGTTCGTCTGTGGAGTTGACATGAACAGAAGTCAACTGGTCAAACTCGTCGAAGTTGACCGAACCGCAGCTGTTGTACACGCCTCTACTTGCGGTGGGCATGTGCTGTATGTCGTACAACCGAAGCGAACCATTATCTGAACCAGCAATGAGCTGAAACGCAAGAACTGAATGCGGTGAGAAAGTTACAAAACAGAATGAAAAAAAATTGCATTGCATCAGGCAGCTCTACAAGGGTATAATAGGGATGATAAGAGAGAGTTAATGTTTAGTAGAGTTGAATTAATAAGGGTCTCGGAAAAAATTGCGTCTCTAAATATAAGGTACGTTCGTACCTTAGAAGGATATTTCTTAAGCCAGCATAATCCCAGGACACTATTCATAGCTCCAAGTGAAGGAATGTAACTAACGATGTTCTCACTCTCGTGGTTCATGACGACCACTTCGCCATCTAAAGTACCGAAAACCATAAGGCTCGAATCCGATGGATGGTACTCAAACTGTCTCGGACGAAAGTTTCTTCTTTCATCTCTCGCTACACTGCCCCTCATAGGAAGCGGATGTAACTCGGGCCATGCACAAGATCCCATTTTGGCAGCAGATAATGACCTCGAATAGAAGTACTGAGATTTTCTTGATAGAGTCGAAAACTTTTTCCTGCTTGAAAGGTTTGCTCTGATCTCACGTTTCTGCAAAATAGTGACCAGGCTTTCTTTATCAAGCCTGTTGTATGGGAGACGTTCGAAATGACGTGTGAAGACATCATTGGCTATTTCCCTGTCGATTTTTCCGATCGGCAAATTGTCGAGAACTTTGAGGTTTGGTAAGGAAGCTATCATGTACTCTCGGTAATTTTTTTCGTAGCATATGAGAGATGGATGTCGAGAAATGTACTTCTTTGTGGCGGTAGGAGTTGGGGTGGTTAAATTGACTGATTCATTACAGAATGGGTATTCGTCTTGCATGTCCAATATGCCAGAAGAGATCTGCTATTGATACATGAATATTCAGTATGATTAAAACAATACAAGATTCTAAATCATGTTATTTTATCCAACAAAAACAAAAAGACGGCCTAAACCTTTTGCACTGATTACACAAAGACGGAAAACGTCAATACCTCGTTCTGCAAATCCGCCAGCTCAACCCAAGCAAGTGGTATTTCAGACAACAGTTCCGTCAAGCCAAATTCATGATCATGACACGAAAAGTCAACCTCGCTGTTATCCGAAGAATCTTCATTTTGACTTCTCACATCTTGACCTATATCATAATCGTTCATATCTTCATCGTCCATATTTAGCTCCAAATGTGGAAAAACTTCATCACCTGGAGACGGTAAGTCCATGTGAATACCGAGGGCAATACGACCTGAACATTGTCCTTCGTTTCCCGATTTTACAGTAGGAGAGTTCGAATCACTACAATGTATGCAATTTTGGAACCGAAGTTCGTCGAGCAAAGGGAGCTTGGCTAATGCTGCACTAGTTGTCCACATGTTTGTGATTTTTGTTTCGCACAGTGAAAGGGATCTTAAATTTGGCATACAGGAAAAACAATCTTCACGGAAAGTAGTGAGTGAAGCACTGAAATCCAAGTTGAGTGTATGCATGTTCATGAATTTTCCGACCATCCCGAGTTTCCGGAAATGGGATGACTTCAGATTCAGGACTTGGCATGATAAACCTCGTTGAGCAAGATCCCTGCAGGAAAAAATCTCGTGATCAAATGATGCAAGTACACAAAACTACAGCACTTGATTGACTACTCATTGCCGAAATAAAGTTTCGAGAAAAGGAGTCGGAAGGCACAACTAACGTACAGCAAGAAATCCTTCCCAAGTGAGATGTCACAGATATCAACAACTCGAAGCTTTTTGCTGACGGCGTGTAGCAAAGGTGTAACGTATTCCGCACTCAGTACACATTCAGATCTGTTTATCATGTCAACTGCATCAATCTCCGAAGCATCGACTTCCTTTAACAGATCGAGAAGTGGGCAGAAATCAACGTCTTTCAAGCCATCCATTGTAATTATAAATGAAGATATCTCCCTACGGGCTTTCTTGATCTTAGCCTGTATTAGGAAGACGGCAAGACCAATAATCAAATGTGAACAAAGAAGAATCACTACTTACTCATACAATAAGATCAAAGAATCGAGGTCCTCGATAAACGGCATAACCGTAAAGAAACAATTTTAACCAAAATTATCTATATAACAGACGATATCGATCGCCTCATTGTGTGAAACCTTGAATAATGCAGCCACAATTGTCTTATTTGGTGGAATTCCTTGCCTCTTGCAAGCATCGAAATATCTGAAAATCGACCCGATGTATATAACAACGATCAGAAGATAAACCAACTGCTTCTTATGAAATCAATGGAAAAAAAAAAACAGGCAGAACCATTGTATATTAATGAAATGCAGACAGTTCTCAGTCATATAATTTTTATTTTTTTTAAGTTAGCAGAAATGAATGATGTTGCATCTCAATTTAAGAATCCAGTTCATTCTCAAGCAGCTTACGAATCGAAAATCCTAAATTAAACTCATGATAACCCTAATTATTTCCGAATTGAATAATTAAATGAAAACAAACGCAAATCTAGGAGTAGAAAGTAACCTTTTCTCCAAGGTGCCAATATCTGTAGCCATGGCGTGGCGCGTGAGCGATGGATGCTTCGTGATTTCTTTCAGCTCTTCGATCGCGGAAGTGGACATGGTATTTGAGATTGGATTTGACAAAATTTCAACGAACTGTTTTGTTGTTCGTTAATTTTTTTTTTTTTTTTTAATAAAATGATAAAATTAATGTTCTTTCTTAGGAATTCGATTTCGGGCCTCTGTTCGTGATATCGGGCCACACGCCCACCCGGAAAATAAATTCGGGCCGCATGGATTGTAATTAATTCAATATCGATAACTTCTAATTGGGCTGACAATAAAAGCCCAAAATGAAGTGACTATCAAAAGACTGGCCCACACTACATAAGTTGTTGGTCATAAAAAAAATTAGGCCCAATTTGATTCGACTTTTGACTACCGTATAGCTTCAGTTTCAATTTTGCACGAGTATTAAGAAATTCAATAAATACTAATTGATTTTAGTGAAATCAATAAAAAATAACTAAGGTAGCATTTATCATTTAATGATTTATAAGAGAGAGTTGATGTTTAAATTGAATTAATAAGATTAAAGCAGGAAAGTATATAATTAATACATTATTCATTATTGAAATGTAAAGTGATAGATACTACGTTCAAAAGTGGTAATTATCGTGAAACATAGGAAATAATAAATATGATATTTAAGAATTTGGAGCCCTATAAAATAATACATTTTTAAAGGACAAAACGCATATCCTACTTCAAGCTTTACGATTTATTTAGTACTTTTCAAAATTAAAGAAATGGATAACCTCAAAAAAATCAAAATTAAATATTGAAAATAATTGCTTTGCTTCGAGGACAAGTATACTAGTGTTGGATTAGCAAAAGTTTTATTAGTGAAAGTAAAATATTAAGGGGTACACAAATAAACAAGAGAATGCAGGCTTTACAGCTCAATGTCATATACTATACTAATTCATAGTTCATATGCTCATTATTTATTTATATATTTATTATTTATTATTTATTTATTTAATGGAAGAAGTAGTTATTTTTCTATTAGTGCTTTTTAGACAGCGTAATCTTAACACCTTTTTAAAGGTCAAAAAGATGAAGAAAGAAAGAACCAAGTTTGATGCATCTTGTCTCCTCTAGTGATAAGTTTGTACTAGTGACACATTTGACTAGTCATGTAAATTTTATTATAGTACAATTTGAAGAGAGAGATGAATTATATATATAACAAATCAGTGCTATTTACTTGAGGTAAAGTCAAATTACTAAAAATTTTCTCATTCAGTAGGTAAATTTAACATCGTAAAGGTGGACGTGTAAGACAATACATAGTTGAAGAGTTGATTGTAATTACCAAAAAATGAGTGGATTTTTTTCGTAATTTGACCATATCTCAGGGACTGTATCGTCGTTTCGTTAAGTTTAACTATTTATGGATGAATCAATTAATATATAAAATAACTCGTTCATTAAAGTTTGTTGGGTAAATTACAACCACCCATGAGGTATGGTCAAATTGCAAACCCCCATCATGTTTGGGTAATTACAACAACCTCTTCTATATAAATCTTCTTAGTTCTTACACGTCCACCCTTGCGGTTTCAAATTTAGTGGAATCTTCGAGATTATATGGAATATTATCACTTTTGTACCCATTTTATCTCATTCGAACTCTACATTTTGAACCAAGATGATCATAATATGTGTTTTTTGTTTAGTATATATCAAATTATGGTGCATCAGAAACTGTATTTTTACACAAAACGAGTATAAACTAAAGTACATTCCACGAATCTAGATGATTATGTTGAATTTGACACCACAATGGTGGAGGTGTAAGAAAAAATCATAGTTGAGGGGTAGATGTAATTATCCAAACAAGACGGGTTTTTCCGTAAATTCACCATACCTCAGGGGTGGTTGTAATTTACCCAAGTTTTCTTAGAAAAAAAAAAAAGAAGAAAAAAAAGGATGACGCAGAAAATTGCTTTTATGACGTTGATGTCAAGTCAAAATATTTAACCAAACTTTACGTATAACGAAAACGACATCGTTTGGGGTTAGGAGATAGCGACTGGGCTCATGCAAAGCTGTGTGTAGCGCATGTGGCTGAAGGCCCACAAAAAGAAGGTTGTTGGGTGTGTAAATTGGGCATCTTCTATTTCAAGAAATTAAAAAAGGGAATAATTTATTTTAATTTTGTTTACATGTCTTATTCTTGCATATCAAAATTATATTAAGTTTGATTTTTTTTATATAATATAGAATATAAAAAAATGTAAATTTCTCGTTTGTTGGAAGAAAAAAAATCGTATTTTGTCGATTCAGTTCCAAAACTTTCAGATTTTGTAACAAATGTGTTATTTTCTTAATCGAAAAATTGAAATAAAATTGGAATTATTTTTTCACTCTCGAGAAAATTCGATTTTCTTACGTAAATGTAAATTTTCGATGAAAAGACGTTTAATTACAATATTCAATTTCGTTAATAAAATGAGTTGGTTATGGAAAAAGAAAATAAATAATTGTACGGTACACATAATTTACAAGGACATGCTTATATAGCTTTTGTCACATATAATAATTAACAAAATAAAATGATTTTAAAATCTCGTAAAGAATCCTTGGTCTGGAAGCAATATTAAACTATTATTGTACTTGTCTTCCTTTTTTTAATCTATTTTTATTTAGCTATTTAAATATGCAAGTTAAACACAGTAAAAATATATATATATATTAATCAAATATATATTAATCATAATTTTATTAACCAATCAGATGGGCCCTAAATATATATATATATATATATATATATATATATATATATATATATATATATATTGCACGACAAAAAATGAAAATATCTTTTCAATATTGACCCACTTGTAATTTTGATTAAGAAGTGACCTGAAATGTGTGATCACATCAAGAATTTAAACGTGACTGAACAAAATATAGCTACCAAATTAGTTGAGATATTATTTGTTTAGACAATGGATTTGCGGGCCAATTTTCCTGATTTATACAATTCCATTTATTTGAAATTGTGGTTGAATTGGTAAAAAAATAATTAGATTGAATATGATTGCATTATTGATCTTATTGTACTATTACAATATTTTCTCGTTAACTATGTAGTCCGGATATAGAAACAGTGATATGGGGAAATTGGAAAATGGACACAGAGACGATATATTCAAAAAAAATTGGGGATATACGAGTTTGGGGAAAATATATAAAATTTTAAAATTATAGGCTTATATTTATAAATATTGTATATAAACATATATAAGTTTTTATTTATATATAAATTCATTTTATATATTTTGATCTAGACATGTTCAAAATAAATTTTACTATCAACTGTCAATTTGCAATTGATGATTAAATTGCGTGAATAATTAGGGAAGCAACAAAAATATTTGAAAATTTGTTATCCAAACATGTTTCCAACTTTTTAGAAATTGCAAAATAAGCCATAACATGTCCTCAGGGCTCAGAGTGTCCGACACTAAACATGTCTGAAACACAAAAATGTTACGAAATTGAAGTTTCCGTGCTACATAGTTCGTTAACCTAATCATGCACATTCATTTATTCAGATCAACTCGAATGCGGATTGATTAGTATCAAGCCTATATCCGTTATTCTAATGGGCCGTTGATGCACCATAATTTACATTTATCCATTATACTTATGTCGGGCCAGAAGATATGGGCTTTGAATGAAATTTCTGAAACTACTAGGATTTATGATATGACTGTGTAAATTAAATAACTATTTTTTAATTTTTCTTTTTGATAATTAAATTAAACAACTATTCAAGAACTACATATACACCCTATTATTAAATATTGTTACTATTTGCCCCAAAAAATAAAAAAAAATGTCCATTTATACGTTAACTGCAGTTGCACATTTAGGATAGAAAATCGATGTTCATCTAAATTTGGAAATTATTGCATAAAAATCTTATTTCCACCTTTTGAATGTGTATTCCTCATTCTTTTTGCCTAAAAAGAAAACCTTGCTATTTTATTGTTTAGTTCCAACATATTTAAACCTTGTTTGGTTCATATTTGTACATCTGTAACGGTAACTAAATTTGCTAATTTAATTTACTAGTTTAAATTACTTTAATTTACAAGAACAATTTGCTAATTTAATTTACCCCACTAAAAGAAATTATGTGGTAAATATTTTTTTTTTTATTGATAATGGCTTCATAAATATAACATGCCGTGTACGTAATTGTGTATCGAATTTGTACTAATTTGCTACATTGGGTAGGAAAAAGATAAATTTGCAAAATTACATTTTGGTCCTATAAATTTAGCTCATTTATAATCAAACCAATATTAGTTTATATTACCAATAAAAGTGTATTTATGTCATTTCAACTTAAAATCACATAAAAAAAAGGGTAAATTACAAACACCCCCCTGAGGTATGGTCAAATTACAAAAATACCCCTCTTGTTTGGATAATTACAACCACCCCCTCAGCTCTTCAAATTTAGTGGAATCTTCGAGATTATATGAAATATTATCACTTTTGTACCCGTTTTATATCATTCAAACTCTACATTAAGAAGTAAGATGATCATAATATGTGTTTTTTAGCTTGTGTATATCAGTTTGTAGTGCATCGGGAAACTGTATTTTTACACAAAACGAATACAAACTAGAGCACATTCCACGGAAGCTAGATGATTATATTGAATTTGGCACAATAAGGGTGGAGGTGTAAGAAAAAATCATAGTTGAGGGGGTAGATGTAATTATCCAAACAAGAGGGGGTTTTTTGTAATTTGACCATACCTTAGGGGGATGTTTGTAATTTACCCCATAAAAAATTGCACAATGTGCTCATCAGAGACAGGATTTCCCTCAACGGGGTCGATGCCTTAACTTTGCTTACACAAAGGGCATTAGTGAATTTTTTTACAGGGGGTATTTGACAATTATGAATTTTGCAGGGCATTATTTGCAATTAGCTCCATAATTGTATGCATTATATATAACTGGACAATTAGAATAGTACAAATTGAGGAACATGTTGAGTGCTCATAAACAAAGTTAAGATTTATTCGCCTATTCATTTGTTCTTTTCTAACAAACTCAAAGATTTTTCCAATTATTAGTGCAAGTGCATCTCACCTAATGTATTCAATCACTCTAATAAGCCAATTTGTTTTTAAATTTCAATGGAAAATTATCATAGTAGTGAAATATAAATTTGTTTGGTATTTTATATAAATTAAAAATGTTCGTGTAAAAAATATAGACTAAGTTGTTTGGAGAGCTGATAAGTTATTATGTCACATTTTTTAGATTAATTTTTAAAGTTTGGATAATGAACTTATAAGCTATTTTACTAATTATAAGATTTTTAAAAAATGTGGATTTGGGATTACCAACTTATATTTTCATCATCTTATTTAAAAAAAAATATGATTTGTTTTATAATTAATTACCAACGTATAAGCTCCTTGGGGAATTTGGGACAAATTGCACATCACCCCCTGTAAATTTCTAATTTTTGCACTTTATCCCCTCAAATTTCTTAAAAGTGAATGCCCCTCATCAAAATATTATTTTTGTTGCACATTGCCCCGATAGCAAAATTCCGATAGATTATTCATCGGAATTGAGGATTTTTGTTGCACGTTGCCCCGTTAGATGTTATTTTTATTGCATGTTGCCCCTTAAAAACATTATTTTTTAGTACATTGCTCATTTTTTTTTTTTTTTGCTCATTTAAAATGTTATTTTTGTTGCTCGATGCCCTCCAAAAAGGCTAAAAATGGCTAATGGGGCAAAGTGCAATCAATATAATATTTCAAAGGGGGATATCAGTTTTTTTTAATTTTAGGGGGAAAAGTGCGAAAAATAGAAATTTTTGGGGGGCAAAGTAAATTTTGTCCTTTTTTTTATTTATATAAACATCAAAAAATATAGTTAATGTGTAATTAAGTTAAACAAGTAATTAGGGCCCATAAAAATGGGAGCTTTAGGCCGTACGGGACGCTGTAAACCTCGATTAAAGTTAACTATGCATCGTGGGTGGTGAACAAATCCTAGTGCTTAATTTTTAAGTTTGACCCAATTGAGTTTATACAACTTATTTTGACCAATACAAATTGGATTATTGTAAATAACTTCAAAAAAGTTGTTTGAGTTATTTAAATATTAATTTTTATTTGTTTATTACTTGAAACTTATTTTCGTTTATCATATATAAATATTTTTTTTATGTAAAAAGTACCATAATTATGATTAACCCCCTAGCGAAACATGTATTGCTTTTTATGCTTTGGGCCTCCGTGCAACTAAAATTATCCAAACGTCCCTATCAGTTTACTTCTTTTTTCACACGTGTGAAGTAACCCTAAATTTATTATTGAATTTTCCCATAGCTATTTGATTTTCATCTTTGTGATATTAGATATATGTATAAATCTATATAATAAATCTATTTAATTGATACGAGATTACTTCCTTTTAATATGTAGGTAATTAATGAATATATTTTAGTATCCTTATACGGGCCTAATATGTATAATTTATTAACAGATGACACATTACGGTGATCAACAATTGTCCTCCGAGACTCAAATGAAAAATTGTTGTAAAATTAATCTAAACGTTAAATTTATTAATGGGAAAATTACAGTTTCATCCTTCAAGTTTGCACGAAAACCACATTTGGTCCCTCATACTCACGTAATTTAATTGGTTTGGTCGTCTCTGTCAATTTACCGTTAGTCCGTTAGTTAGGCCAATGATGTGCACACACTTCATTCCATTAGTTTTAACGAAAAATTGATGGAAATAAATAAAACTGTTGCAGTTTTGAAATATGAGGGACTGAATGTGTTTTTTGTGATGAGGGACCAAATGTAGAATTGAAGGGATGAAAATTGTATTTTTCCCATTTATTATTATTAACCCTAAAAAAAAGAAAAAAAAAAGGCACCCCTCAAACATATAACATATTGCATATTGACCCCTGAAAGGAGCGTGAACACACTCGCTCCACCTATCACATCACATTTCACCACTTTGAGAAAAAAAAGCAGGAGCACTGAGCGCACACTCTCCCTCATTTTTCTCTCTCCCCCACCAAGTCGCTTTCACACTGTTGCACTTGCTCTGCTACTCTCTCTCACTACTTTCTCTCTCCTAAAATAACGCCAATATCTTCTCAACGTTTTTTCCCCTCAAATCTTCTGCTGCAACTCACTCAAATCCCCCATTTTTCTCTAACTAAAACAGAAAAAACACCGCAAACTTTCTCTCTCTATAACAGATCAATTTTATCGTGTTATAAACGGGAAAAAAAAAAACTCCATGAAAAATGGTAGCAATCGCATCATGTAATTCCCGTTTCGTTTCTAGCTAGTTCTGCATTAGGTTTAATCGCAGTGATTTGCGTGAGGGGCGAAGCGCGTGATTAATTTTTTTTACCTTTGTTAGGGTTTGTTGTATACAATCATCTGAATTTGCTACTCAAATTGAGTTTCAGAAAATAAGGATGGAGAAAAGGCAAGGGTTTTTCTCGGCGCTGAAGGAGGAAGTGGTGCGCGGGTTGTCACCAGCAAGGTCACGGGCGAAAAGTCCGGGTCGGAGCCCCTCGCCGATGGCGGGTCTTTTCCGGAGGAAACTCAGTTCCAGCAGCTCCGACTCGTTGATTCCGAGATCGGGCAGCCTAAGGCCGGGTGGGGAGACACTGACACCTTTAATGGAGGGTCCGGATCCGGACGGCGACGAACTCGGTGAGTCGAAGCGGCTCGGGTCGGGTCTCGGCCAGTGGGTCCGAGGGCAGCTGAACCGGAACCCATCCGTTGCCGTTAATGAGAACGGCTGCGGCAGCAAGAGGTCCGATTTGCGGCTGCTGCTTGGAGTGATGGGTGCGCCGCTTGCGCCGGTGCACGTTTGTACCTCTGAGCCTTTCCCTCATCTCAGTATAAAGGACACCCCCATTGTACGTATGCTTAAAATAGTTGTACACTTGTGTTTTCTCTTTGCTATTATATAATTTTGTCGATTTATAATTATTCCACTGAAAATGTGTGTATTAAGGTTAATTTTCTTTCAGGTTCAGTCTTCTGTTTCATGATTAAGACTGTTAATTAAATAGATTCTCACAATCTTTGTCCCTTGGTTAAGGATAGTAGCATATTCACTTGTAACTATAGAGCCACAATCTTTGACTTTCATGCTTAAACCATGTATAATTGTTTGGGAGGTTGTTGTTTCCTATTTCTACTGTTTTGTTTTTCTTATTAATTCATCGATATTTTGATATATTATAGGAAGCTTCGTCGGCGCAGTACATACTGCAACAGTACACCGCCGCATCCGGAGGGCAGAAAGTTCAGAACACGATCAAGAACGCCTACGCCATGGGCAAGTTGAAGATGGTAGCGTCCGAGTTCGAAACCGCCACAAAGGTGGTGAAGAACCGGAATGCCGCCAGAGCTGCAGAATCCGGTGGATTTGTCCTGTGGCAGATGAATCACGACATGTGGTATGTTGAGCTCGCAGTGGGTGGAAGCAAAGTCCACGCAGGCTGCAATGGCAAGCTCGTCTGGCGGCACACTCCATGGCTCGGGGCCCACACCGCTAAGGGACCCGTCAGACCCCTTCGCCGTGCTCTTCAGGTCAAGATCTGATCCATAGAAATTCGTTCTTTACCTAGTGTATGTTTTTTTTTTTTTTTTTTTTTTTTTGCGATATTCATCGAATCTTGAATGATACAGGGGCTTGATCCAAGAACCACCGCTAGTATGTTCACCGATTCGATTTGCATTGGAGAGAAAAGCATCAATGGAGAAGACTGCTTTATTCTAAAGCTCGCTGCAGATCCTCACACGCTTAAAGCCCGGAGTGAAGGGCCGGCAGAAATCATAAGGCATGTCTTGTTCGGCTACTTCAGCCAAAAAACGGGGCTTCTTGTTCACATGGAGGATTCGCATCTCACCCGAATCCAATCCAACGGTGGAGATGCAGTTTACTGGGAGACTACAATCAACTCGTTCTTGGATGATTACAGGCCCGTCGAAGGAATCATGATTGCCCACTCGGGTCGTTCGATCGTGACCCTTTTCCGATTTGGAGAAATGGCGATGAGTCACACTAAAACTAGGATGGAAGAAGCTTGGACGATTGACGAGGTGGCGTTTAATGTTCCGGGACTTTCCGGAGACTGTTTCATCCCACCAGCAGATTTGAGATCGGGTTCCGTAAGTGAAGCTTGTGAGCTCCCTCACGAGGAAAGGGGTAAATCTGTAATTGCCCATCGAGCGAAAGTTGCAGCGTTGGAGAATACTGGTAGTAATAATACTTGGAAAGTGGAAAGCTGACCGAGTAGGATCCAGCTGCTTTCGTGGCGAATATGTTCATATGGCGTTAGGCAGTTTTCTAATTTTACTAACAAAGTAGAAAAAATAATAACAAATTAGGGCTCAGTTCGGTTCTATTGAGAAATTTGGGGGTTCTTTTTTTCCGTTGTTGTGCCGACATTAGTCTCCGTTTCATTCTCTAATAGGAGAATCCAACTAAAGGGGTTGGAAAACGGAGGCTAGTTTTTCGGTTTAAACTCTCCGACGATGGAGCAAGGTGGTGAAAGCTTTGAGTATTAGTATTTGGCTTTTACTAAGTGTTTTTTTTTTTTCCTTTTACTTTCTTACTCTTGCCTAAATATATGAAGGCATTGGCAGTTAGAAGTGGAATTAGCTGCTAATTTGATTGGGTTTATTAGTTCAATTAATTCCTTAATTGTTAATAAGGTTCTTGTGTGTGACATTTCTTTCTGGTACTAAAGCTTGTTTAATGTTCTATGAGATACTGAATGCTTATATATAAAGTCACAACTTGTTGCAAAAAACGGGATTTCTCCGAAAACCCTAGATCCGATCCGTTCGATATTCACCGGTTTTGCATATATATTTATGCATGTGAAAGGAATCTATATGTGATTAGCTGTTTATGTTGTGGTGTTAGTGGGAGCATCTAGGGCTAGTTGTAAACAACTTTAATAATGTGCAGCTGTCTGCTTTTCTTTCCCACTGCTCATTGTTACTTTTTGGAATAAAATTTTCTTTGAATAACCCTTTTGTTGACTCTTGGTCTTGTACCCAAAAAACCCATCACATATAATCATTTAAAATAAATAAATAATAAAAAAATTAAATAAGATAACGTGTTGGGTGGGGCCCTCTCATGGGGTTTTAGCGAAAAGATTGAAGTGGTGAGTTTTGCTAGTAAAATTTAGAGTAAATTACATTACGAATAAATTCATTTTGTTTAGATAATTACATCTACCTTTCAACAATGAATTTTCTTGCATCTCCCCATCTATATGGTGTCAAATTTTACATAATCATTTAGATTCTATGGAATGTTCTCTAGTTTGAACTCGTTTTGTACAAAAATACAGTTTATGATCCATCACAATCTGATATATACAAGCCAAAAAACACGTCTTATGATCTTCTAGCTTCAAAATGAGGAGCTCGAATGGGATAAAACGGATCCAAAATTGAGAACATTCCATATAATCTACAGGATTCCACTAAATTTACAACCACAAGGGTGGACGTGTTATAAGATTTGTAGTTGAAGGGTGGTTGTAATTACCCTAATAGGAGGGAGATTTTCGTAATTTGACCATACATCATGGGTGGTTGTAATTTACCCTAAAATTTATATAAATTAATACAATCAACACTAGTAATAATTTAGTACATTTACACTGAGTTAGGATCGAAATCCATTATTAATTTATCAAGATTTTGCTATATCTACATATAATTGATTGTACGTAGTATGCAACCTAAAATAGTTGTAATTAAATGGCAACAGCATTAGTAAGTGGGGGATGCTTGACATTAGAATGGTCCCTGGAAAAAATAAAAATTCCACATTTATTGGGGAAGGAATTAATTGTTTGCTTTTTAGGGCAATCATTCATTTAAATAATTATGAATAATAATAATAATAATAAAGGTGAGTACTGAGTATTTGTTGGTGAGTGTAAATGAGATTTAATTCCAGCTTTCAACAAACTATTTCACCAGTTTTGTCACATCTTGTTTAGCCATTCAATCTCAAACTCAACTCTGTTTCACCTATTCCACATACTATACTTGATCCCTCTTTTTAATTCGCTCACCCTCATCTGGTGTCGTCGCTCGTTCAAGAAAATAAAATAAAATAAAATAAAATAAATTATTGACATTGTGACTCTATATGTATGATTATGTGTAAAGAAATAATGTATCGTACGATATATATCATATGGTGTAATGTTTATCATACACACAATTATTTTCTTAATATTCGGATCTATTCGTCGATTTCCCTTAGTGGTTTAAGAAACTTCGTTATTATTGCATTATTTGCTCTAATTCACTTTTAAATGTTACAATTTTTTTATTTTTATTTTTTGTGTGATATCATCATAATTTTTTTCCTAATACTCCATTAAGAGGGGAAAAATGTGGGAATTGTGTGAATGCCTTGTAAAATAGGTAGCTTGACAAAATGAGAAAGAAGGGTATATGCCCTATTCTCTTAAATGCAGAGGATCACATCAAATAGTGAAGTGGAATCTAACTCATCAATTCCTCACCAAATTATATATATAAAAAAAAAGAAAAAAAGAAAAACACATTCAATGTGTGTGTGTTTGGTTCAATCAATCATCAATGGCTTATTTTTGTGGTCCTCAAGAAAATTCAATCCCTTTTATTTTTTCCTTTGTTTGGGAAAGAGGATTAAATCCAATGAATTCAAGAAAAACTATGAAGTGTGTGAACCCATTCTTGGAAAGGAAAAATAAAATTGCCCCATTACAAGAAACTTTGCATTTAGTGATTGATATCACCTCATTCAATTTCTAGATTCACCCAATCTCAACCTACTTAATCAAGATTATTTCTTTTTCTTTTCTTTTAATTGAAAAAATAATTAGCATCCATGTATATCGACCAGGTAAGTAAATATCGCTCTCGTGCAATAACTTGCAGATTGCAGGAGATATTCCACTTCATAAAAGCTTAGTGTAATCTCAAGAAATAATTGAAGTATTGAAAATATTAATTTGGTCCTCAAAGTTTCTGAAATCTCATTAGTAGTCCTCAAATTTTTATTTTTCTCGTGCTATTTCTATTTTTTATTTAACCCAATAAGTGGTTTGTTTATATACAAAATAAGTGGTTTGAGATAGTGAGAAATTGCTTACAACAAGATTGACGAAAGTGTGAATTGAAAATGGGAGGAACTCTAAGGACTTGAATGCAATTTTAAAACAAACAAATTCAGAACACGAAGCAATAGACCCATGCAAGAGTGGGACTAATTGTTAGCTTATGGGCTACCAAATTAAATAAACGAGTCTGCAAATTATGATTTTAACTACTTTAAATAACACTAAGCAACGGAATCTCCCATGAGTGGAATAGTTCTAATAGTAAAAAAATACTAAAATATGTCACATAAATAAATATATTCTGGGAATCCACGTTGACTTTTCTGATCTCCGTTTTTTAGGGAAATAATTAGGGCAACAAATTTAAATAAAAGCCATATTTTATAGAAATTTCAAATTAGTCACAAACCACAACCCCCCAAAAAAAAAAATTATATCTATTGCAATTTTTCTAAATTAGGAGAAGTTGTGGGCTTATACTATGCTACATCGGGTGAAATACACCGGGTAGATTTTTAACATTCATATACACACAAACACACACACTCCCACATTGGTGTGTGTAGATCAACGGTAAAAAACCACCCGGTGTAACCTTCACCGGGTGCAGCATAGAAATAACCAGAAGCTGTGAAACGGGTATTTATATTTTATTTTATTTCTTTATTAGAAGATCATGATTAATAATATAAGGGTTATCTTTCAGTAATCCATTTTTTCGGGGAGCTATTTGTAATATGTATTTGTTTTTGAGAAATTATATCCATCTCCTACAGTTTGTAAGTTTCTTACCTCAACACCCTACAAATGGGTGCAAGTGTAACAAATCTACAAATTATTGGTGGTGGATGTAATTATGAAAAAAATGAGAATTTTTTCGTAAATAAACATTACCTCAGAGGGGCGGTTGTAATTACCACAAAATAAATAGTTCATAAGTGTGTGTGTGTACAAGAAAATGTCGGCAGAGGAAAAGTTTGAGAGATTGGTAAGTAGCATATAAATTAAATGATAGGTGCACTAAATTGGGTATACTCTGCGTTACCTGCAGTACATATAGTGTACACCATATTAAATACATATATGCATGTAAATATATTTAATATTATAATATTGTTCATAAATAAAGATTACTTAAAAGTGATTTAAATCGAAACGTTTAAATAAAAATAATAATTTTCCACACCAAGAAAATGAGTGTCCACACTCCACGCACGTGCACTTCCACATTGGGGTAACAAATGTCGATATGTTACCGAGGGGAGAAGGCCTTTGACGGTTGACCCAAGTGGGAAATCAGCCCTTTATTTTTATTTATTTATCTATAAATATATATATATTTTATATATTTATTTATTTATATGTGACAAGAACAGTAATTAAAAATTAAACATTAGATAGGGTAATTTCATGGAAAATAACTCGCTCTCAGAATTTTAATACAAAAATAAGTTTCCAAAAAAAAAATATAAGAAAAATCAAATCAATGTATAACAAGTACAGAGGGAAAAAATAATAATCCAGAAGCCTATGGGCTAAAATGCAAACAATAGATATAGAGATATATATATAAGTGGGCCGTGGGCCCGTGACTGAGAAGTAACTTGGGCCATATAAATCATCTAAAATAAGATATAGAGCAAAGCCCATACCCATACAAACCCGCTAGTGATCTTCTGCAACGAGCTCACTGGATTTGCTCCACTCTGCAATTATATTTTCATTATTAAAAAATTAAGGATAAATGGAAAAAAATTAAACAAAATAAAGCAATACGTTCCATATATCAAGATCTATTTTTTTTTTATCATGAAATAAAAATTAAATTAATTTATCTACTCGGTTCGGGATTAATTGATCAAAATGTAAATAAATTATCGAGGTACTTCAGGTGAATTATATTCAATTTATGAAATACTAGATTCGATTCAAATCGAGTTATATATTAATATTTAATGTTCAAATAAATTTGACAATAATATATTTAGCTAGATTTGATTAATCTACTCCACTAATTTTTCACAATAAAATATTTTAATCAAACTTTGGTAAATAAAATTTTGAAAAATAATATATGCAAAGTGTTGTGTACAGTAATTCACATGGTTTGGAGCACACCGGATCCCTATTCCCTAGAATCCAAGACCCAATAACGGGAGCATTGGCATGGGGTTTTACAGACCAATCAGAGACAGACACGTAAGCCAGTTCATGTTAGATGCTCGAAGTTTTAACTACACTATAGTGCGCCTCTTCTATTATATGTACAATTATACAGTACAGATTCAATTAATTACATTTTGTACCACAGGCGCACATTAGAGACGAACGATGCAAACAAAATAAAATGGCGGAGGTGCATATATGTACCTGATCAGCGGCGGTAGGAGCAGGTGAAATACCCGAGAGACTCGGTCCCGGAGCTCCAGTGGGAGGCGCCGGAGGGCTTAGTAAAGACGGTGATGGCGCCGGAGATGTTGGATTCGATGGAGCCGGAGCTGGAACCGAAGCGGCTAGCGGAGCGGGAGTAGGAGCTGCCGGCGGGGGCGGAGAAGGAACCGGAGGTGGAGGAGATGGGGTTGGAGGTGGCGGACTTGGAACTGGTGGAGGAACAGCCGGCGGAGGCGAGCTCACGGGTGGCGGAGGAGAAGCGGGTGGGGTTGGCGTAGGAGGCGGAACAGCTGGTGGCGGGGAAGTAACAGTAACCGGTGGAGGCGAAGAAGCAACTGGAGGCGGCGAAGCTGCGGCGGGAGTAGGAGGAGCAGGAGTTGAAGTGGGAGAAGCAGCCGGGGATTGACCGCTGACTCCGGCGAAGATAACGCCGATCAAAGCTATGAACACAAGTAGTAGTTTTGGAGCCATTATAATTAAGAAACAAGACAATGCTATCGTGCGCAGTTGTCTCTAAACCTTAAACTTCGCCGCAGAAAAGCGAGTCAGAGACTCAGTGGTGACTGGGCGAGTTAAGGTGGAGTTGGAGAATCGGGGAATGGAGTTGTCTGTATAAATAGGAATGACGAATGAGCTATCAGATCAGATATGTTCATTGTGTTGACTAGCGTTGACCGTATTAGTGTTAAAATTAAGTAAATTACTAAAATTAATTACTTTTTATGTATCTCTTATTTAAAACATTATTTGACACTATAGATATAGAATTCGACAAATATAATCCAACACTCGATTCATATTTCACTAATATGAATATTTATTGCAGTTAAAACGAAATAATTCATGTAATTTAATTAAGTAGATAGTGACGTAGCCAGCATATGGTCAGAGAGGTCATGCATATCCAGCATTTATCAAATCTTTATATATGAATGTATATAAAATTATATAAAGTTTGTGCACAGTTACACTAACGATCCCCTCTCGAGGAATTTTTATTGCATTCGGCCCCTCGAACTTAAAATCCTGGCTCCGTTAATGTTTAAGAGATATATAATATGTCCTATTAATTCATATATAGAAAATTCTGTTCCGAGATATATGATGTTATTACTCGTTCACCAACTAGCTAGGCCACCCGATGGGTCAATCGAATGATCAATCGCACTCGTCTAGATATGGTTGGTTTCGATTCAAATTAAATAAAATAAAAATCGAAAAAATCTTGGGGAAGAAATAAATAAACACACTATGCTTAGATAGCAAATTACCAGCTTGTGCTAATCATTGAGTTTGTGCAATCAAAATTGATAGGAAAACTAACATGCATGATTGATGGAATGGAACATCTCACCCCACCAGAATGATTCTTGGCTTAGATTATTCTTTAAGCCTTCATAAATTATATTTATTGATTAATTTAAATAAGAAATTGCATGTTTGATTTTATTATTAATGAATACATTGACAATGCAAAACTGCACACAACGTATAATAGCTAAACTTAATTTGCATTATTTAACTCCAAATATTAATAAATATATGGGAAAATACAGTTTTGGCCCCTCAAATTTGTACCAATTTCACATTTGTCCCCTACGTTCACAAAAAAACACATTTGGTTTCTTATATTTAAAAAAATTCAACACTTTTATCCATTTTCGTCATTTTTCTGTTAGTACTGACGGAATCAAGCGTTTTCCATATCACTGCCTTAACTGATGGAGTGACAGCAAATTGACAAAAATAACCAAAAGTGTTTAATTGTCGAAATATGAGGGACCAAATGTGGTTTTCATTAATATGAAGGACCAAATATGGAATCAAATAAAACTTGAGGTGTGAAAACTGTAATTTTCCCATAAATAAATAAATAAATAAAAAATGGCGTGGATTAGAAGGGACGATGACTTGTTTGGTGTAACCATCACTTCTTTTGCCTAAAGTGGTAATGATTACAATTTTACAATAATTAATAATTATAACAATCAATTACATCCACCAACTTATGACAAAATTAAAATAAAAAAAAATAAAAATAAAAAAAAATCAACCATATAATAGATACAATATGGGCCCGAGCAGTTTGGTCCATTAGTCAAAATTTAACATATGGGCCGAGTGCAGAAAAAGTCCGGCCCAGCATAGAATGTGATCCACGTAGGGTTTGGGCAATTCTGTAAATAACCAAATAAATCCGGGTAAAGTCATAAAAGTGCAGAACAGAAGAGGCGGGCTTTCTATTTTTGGTACAAAGTCTTATCTTCTTCTTCTTCTTCTTCATTCTTCTCACACATTTCGAAAAATTTCTTCACATTCTGCAAATAATCTCCAAACGAAGCTCGTACATCGCTTGAAAATGGCGGTTTCGTTGGGTGTATTTTCGAGTTTTCTGCCTATCGACAAGGTTCCGTTCGTCAAATCTTCTTCTCCGTACGCGACTGTCAGAATCGCTCCTGCTAGCCTCCGCGTTCCCCGACCGGCTACGATCTCCGCCGTTGCCAAGCCGGCTACGGAAACCAAGCCGCGCGAGCCGAGGGGGATAATGAAGCCGCGCCGTGTGTCTCCGGAAATGCAGGACTTCATCGGCGGCGGCGTGACTGAGATCCCCCGCACTCAAGCACTCAAAGAGATTTGGGCCTACATCAAACAACACAATCTGCAGGTATCTGAATTTTTTGAAACCCTATTTTTTTTTTGAAAATATTGCTTCCAGCCTTCCCTTGCAGCTTGTTTGTAATTTTGTAGTTATGATGTTTAACGAGTGAAATTTGATTTGCTTACACATGGATTTATTTCATATGGTCATATTATATTTGTTTAAACATAATTATGAGCTAATTAATTCCATTAATCTGGATCTTTCAGTATTCCTTTTCATGTTTCTGAAGTTTCTTCTGCAACTGGTATAAATTGTTCTGCTAAAACCACGAAATAAGAAATCTCCGACAATTATTTACGTACACCGAGCAGTGTTTTGGGCTCGTATTGTTGCATGCTGCGAATTAACGAATCGGGATTTTGCTTTTTAAGTTGCTAAAGATTTGACCAATCGAACTGAACTTTACGAACATACTTTACATTGTTCAATTGTCGGACCCAATCATTCAAACAGCTTAATTCTCAAATCGTATTTCGCAACTACCACTTTATTCCGTTTTTGCTGGCTCGGATGTACTTATCTACGACTGCAATACAGCAAAACGAAGAGAAGTAAGTAAACAGTTCGTTTCGCGAACATTTCTTAAGATATGTTGTGAACGCTACCTTTGGACTTGAACGCAAATGATTTGTTTCATGAACATTATTTATCACATCATACGTACGTAACTGATTTTTTTCGTCTTCTTATTTATAGGATCCCAAGGACAAAAAGGTCATTATCTGCGACGAGAAGCTGAAGACAATATTCGGAGGAAGGGATCGTGTGGGGTTCCTCGAGATTGCCGGCTTACTCAATCCACACTTCCTCAAGTGAAATACATTGATTGCATCTTGAAAGAAAGCAGAAATTAGTAGTTTGTTGTAAATGAAGTTTGTGTTGGTTAATCATTATTAGTATTTAGGAAAAAGCAGTAGTAGCAAGTACCTAGGTTTTGCTTTCCAGTTTAGATAATCTTGTGCAAGAGGATCGATCAATCACCATGGGTAATTTTGCTGCATGTTTTCAAATCCTCTTGTAGTAAGTAGGGTTTAGCCTTTAGTTCAATCCTTGTACCGACTCCTGATATTTGTCTTGTTTTTATTTTAATCTTTTATTATCTTATGTTTTACAGGCGAAGTTGTTGAGTGAGTTTTGTGTATTAATGTTGAATTGCTTATTGAGAGGGCTCGGAAATGTCATTTTTCTTAGGGTAAATCACGGCAATCCCTGAGGTAAGGTCAAATTACGAAAAGAATCCTTCCAGTTTGTGTAATTACAACTACCCGTCTTAACTAAGAATTTTCTTACTCGTCCATTTTTATAGTGCCAAATTCAATGTAATCTTCTAAATTTTTGAAATGCTCTCTAGGTTGTACTTATTTTGTGCAAAAATGCGGTTTCTCATGCACCACAATCTGATATTTACAAGCCAAGAGACACATGTTATGAACATCTTGTTTTAAAATGTGGAGCTCGAATAAGGATAAAAAGATATAAGCTGGAGAATTACCTATTAAATTTAACACCGCAAGAATGAATGTGTAAGAAGATTATGATACTTGGTCTTACCTCAAACAAGATTTTTTTTTTAATTTAATCTTACCTCACAAGTGACCATAATTTAAACTTATGAGATATGATATTAGGATTACATATTTATATTATTATAATCAAATAATTAATAGCAAATAAATAAAATTGGAGGGTGACACATTTTGATTTTGTGGTGAGTGGTGATTTATGAAGCAAAGAGTTGTTTCCTAGCAAAGGGAAAAAAAATCTTTTGTGCAAGTAGACCAAGGGTTTGACTGCAATCCCTAAAACCCTTCTCTCTCTCTCTCTCTCTCTCTCTCACACACACACACACACACTACTCTTTGTTTCACAGCTCTCTCCAATGGCGGAAAAACTAGCTCTACCTCTTATCCTCCCAAACCCACCTCCCCCAAAACCTTTCTTCCAAGACCTCCACCCCAACTCCGCCGCCGCACCGCCACCTTCTTCCCCTCCCAATTTCGCCCCTCTCTTCCACGACTTCCTCCACCACCACCAACACAATTCCAATTCCCCACAAAATCCCCTCAATTACCCCTCCTCCTCGTCCAACCCCAGACCACGCCGCCGTATCGGAAAACACCGCGACCCCAACAAGGGCAAGCCATGGTTCCACCACCGCCTCTCCTTCCAAGGTGAGCTCACTTTCCAATCCCTCCTCCACCCCCAATTCGACATCCAAAATCTCGACGCCGAATTATCCTCTCTCTTCAATTCCGGCCATCCAGATAACGAATTCTCCGACGATTTCACCGAAACAGTTGCCTCCGATGTCCTCGGCATAATCAAAGCCCTAGCCCACTACAAAAAATGCGACCTTGCTCTAAGCATGTTCGAATGGATTAAAAAACGCAGCGATTCCGAAAACCTAATTAACAGTTCCGTTGTCGCCGTCGTAATCAGCATGTTGGGCAAAGACGGCCAGGTTTCCACCGCAGCTTCTCTGTTCCACAGCCTGCACAAGGATGGATTCGCCATGGATGTATACGCGTACACCTCGTTGATATCCGCTTTCGCGAGCAACGGGCGGTACCGAGAGGCTGTGATGATTTTCAATAAAATGGAGGATGAGGGCTGCAGCCCTACTTTAATCACCTACAATGTGATTCTGAATGTTTACGGCAAAATGGGAATGCCTTGGCATAAGATTATCTCGGTTTTCGATGGTATGAAGAGCTCGGGTGTTTCCCCCGATGCTTACACTTATAACACAATCATAAGTTGTTGTAGAAGAGGATCTTTGTTCGAGGAAGCGAAAGGGATTTTCGAGGAGATGAAATTAGCTGGATTTTTACCGGATAAGGTTACTTATAATACGCTATTGGATGTTTACGGAAAGTCGAGGAGGCCTAAAGAAGCCATGGAAGTATTGAAGGAAATGGAAATTAACGGTTTCTCTCCGAGTATAGTGACTTACAATTCGCTGATATCTGCTTACGCGAGAGACGGGTTGTTGGAGGAAGCAATGGAGCTGAAAAGTAAAATGCTCGGAAATGGGATTAAACCAGATGTGTTCACTTATACAACCCTTTTGTCGGGGTTCGAGAAAGCTGGTAAAGACGAATCTGCAATGAGGGTTTTCGAGGAGATGCAAAGTATTGGCTGTAATCCCAATATCTGCACGTTTAATGCTCTGATCAAGATGTTTGGTAACCGTGGCAAGTTTAAAGAAATGATGAAGATTTTCGATGATATGAAGGCGTGCGGGTGCAAGGCGGATGTTGTGACGTGGAACACTCTCTTAGCTGTGTTTGGTCAAAATGGGATGGATACGGAAGTTTCGGGAGTGTTCCGAGAGATGAAAAGATCGGGTTTTGTGGCGGAGAGAGACACTTTCAATACGTTGATCAGTGCGTATAGTAGATGCGGATCTTTCGACCAAGCAATGGCTATTTATAAACGGATGTTGGAAGCAGGGGTGGCCCCCGATCTCTCCACTTACAACGCTGTGCTGGCGGCATTGGCTCGTGGCGGTTTGTGGGAGCAGTCGGAGAAAATATTCGCAGAAATGATGAACGGGCGGTGTAAACCTAATCAGCTTACGTATAGCTCTTTGCTCCATGCTTATGCTAACGGAAAGCAAATCGAGAAAATACACGATCTTGCAGAGGAAATATATTCAGGTGAAATCGAACCTCATGCGGTTCTCCTAAAAACACTCGTTCTTGTTTATAGCAAGAGCGATTTATTACAAGAAACAGAGCGAGCGTTTCTCGAGCTAAGTAGAAGAGGGTTTTCTTCGTTGGATATAACTACTTTAAATTCGATGATTTCGATTTACGGTAGGAGACAAATGATTGACAAGGCGAACGAGATCGTGAATTACATGAACGAAAGTGGGGTGACACCTAGTTTGACTACCTACAACAGTTTGATGTACATGTACAGTCGGTCCTCGAATTACGAAAGAGCCGAAGAAATATTGAACGATTTGGTTTCGAGGGGGAGGGTGAAGCCGGACGTGATTTCGTTCAATACGGTGATATACGCGTACTGCAGAAACGGGAGGATGAAGGAAGCTTCTAGAATGTTCAAGAAGATGGCGGAGAGTGGGGTTGCTCCGGACGTGATAACCTACAACACGTTCGTTGGGAGCTATGCTGCGGATGCGATGTTTGTGGAGGCGATTGATGTGGTGAGGTATATGATTAGGCAGGGGTGTAGGCCGAACCAGAGTACGTACAATTCGATTGTGGATTGGTATTGTAAGCTAAATCGGAGCGACGAGGCTGTTATGTTTGTTGGTGATTTACGGAAATTGGATCCTCGTATTTCCAAGGACGAAGAACGGAGATTGTCCGAACGGTTGATGGTTATGAGATGATTATAAGGTTAAGGTATGTAATATATATTGCATTGTTATAATTAGATACACATATGTCGTTGTGCCCCTCAACAAATGGTTTGAATGTTGTATTATTAGAGAAGTTTACGAAATTATCAAATTGTTATGTAAATATTTCTTTTTTTTTTTTAATAGAAGATATTTCTGACATTCATTTTGGGTAAATTACAATCACCTATGAGGTATTGTCAAATTACAAAAAAAATCCTCTTGTTTGGATAATTACAACCAGCACCCTCAAGTATAAATATTTTTACACGTCCACCCTTGAGGTTTCAAATTTAGTGGAATTTTCATCATTATATGGATTATTATCACTTTTGTAGCCGTTTTATCCTATTCGAACTCAACATTCTGAAGCAAGATGATCATAATATGTGTTTTTAAGTTTATATATATCAGCTTGTGGTGCATCAAAAACTGTATTTTTACACAAAATGAATACAATCTAGAGCGCATTTCACGAAATCTAGATGATTTTTGATACCACAAGGGTGGATGTGTAAGAAAAAATCATAATTAAGGGGTAGACGTAATTATCCAAACAAGATGAGTTTTTTCGTAAATTGACCATACCTCAGGGGTGGTTGTAATTTGAATTTTTTTTCTATTCACACTACCATGTATTTTTGGGAAGAAGTTATTAAACCGACGGTTATTGCAGTGCAAATAGCAAAATTGATAGACTAATAAATAGCCTCACCCTAACTACAACAAAAATAATTAATTGAAAGAGAAAATGGATCTGCTTTCTATTTCTTCTTTCTAAACAAATATCCACTCTCATTATAGTGAATAAATTTGAACACGTAAAGAATTTACTAGAAAACAAAACAAATGCTACAATACCTGTTGTACATCTGTTCAGTTGCCAGCTGTCAACAAAAACATTTTTAAATATTAGGATAAATTACAGGAAAACCCACTCTTGTTTGGGTAATTACAATCACTCCCTCAACTATGAGTCTTCTTACACTTCCACCCTTATAGTGTCAAATTCAAAATAATCTTCTATATTCAGTGGTATATTCTCTAGTTTGTACTCGTTATCTGCAAAAAATGCAATTTATGATGCACTACAATCTGATATTTACAAACTAACAGACACATGTTATGATCATCTTGTTTAAAAATGTGGAGTTCGAACGGGCTAAAACGGGTACAAATGAGAGAGTATTCCACATAATTTAAAAGATTCCACTAAATTCGACACTCCAAGGGCGGACGTGTAAGAAGATTCATGGTTGGGTGCTTGTAATTATCCAAACATGAGGGGTTGTTTTTAATAATTTTACATTAGCTGAGGATGTGGCCGTAATTTATCTTGAATATTATATATAATAAACGGAGCTGAGCTGCTCTGCATGTTCTCATCAGTCATCTCTCTCCCCAATTTTCAGAAACCCCCTTTCCCAGCCCTAAATTTCACGCGCCAAAATTCATAAAAATTACAGTCACAGAACTCCGATTCTTCCGGACTGAAAAAATGAGCTGGTGGTGGGCTGGTGCTATCGGCGCTGCAAAGGTCAATTCTTACACTGCAGAACGATCATATACGTATTAATTATATTATTTTTGTGTTCGTATTTTGAAATTTGAATTGCCTAATTGATTGAAAGCAGAAAAAAATCGAAGAAGACGAGCCACCGCAGAAGCATGAGGGCGTAGCCCTAATAGTCGGGGTCACCGGAATCGTCGGCAACAGCCTGGCGGAGATCCTCCCCCATTCCGACACCCCCGGCGGCCCATGGAAGATCTACGGCGTCGCCCGCCGCCCACGACCCACGTGGAACGCGGACAACCCGGTCAACTACATCCAGTGCGATATATCCGACCCGGAAGACACACGGGTCAAGCTCTCACCCCTCACAGACATCACCCACGTATTCTACGTCACCTGGGCTAACAAATCCACCGAGGCAGAGAACTGCGAAGTCAACGGCAAAATGCTGCAGAATTTGCTGGATGCAGTAATCCCTAATTCCCCCAATTTGAAGCACATCTGCTTGCAGACCGGTCGAAAGCACTACATCGGCCCGTTCGAGTCTTTCGGCAAGAACATACCGACCCACGATCCTCCTTACACAGAGGATTTGCCCCGATTGAATCACATCAATTTCTACTACACCTTGGAAGACATTCTCTTCGCCGAGGTGGAGAAGAAGGAGGGTTTGACTTGGTCAATTCATCGCCCCGGAAATATATTCGGATTCTCACCGTACAGCATGATGAATTTAGTTGGTACCCTCTGCGTATACGCAGCTATATGCAAGCACGAGGGTGTTCCTATGAAATTTCCGGGGAGTAAGATTGCTTGGGAGGGCTACTCCGATTGCTCCGATGCAGATTTGATCGCAGAGCATCAGATATGGGCGGCGGTGGATCGTTTCGCCAAGAACGAGGCCTTCAATGTGAGCAATGGCGATGTGTTCAAATGGAAGCATTTTTGGAAGGCGCTGGCGGAGCATTTCGGGGTGGAGTTTGTGGAGTATGAAGAAGGCGGTGAGGAGGTGAAACTCGAGGAGCTTATGAAGGATAAAGGTTCGGTTTGGGATGAAATCGTGAGGGAGAATGGTTTGACGGTGACGAAATTGGAAGAAGTTGGGACATGGTGGTTTAGTGATCTTATACTCGGAGGGGAGTGTTCGTTGGATTCGATGAACAAGAGTAAGGAGCACGGGTTTCTTGGGTTTAGGAATTCGAAGAGTTCGTTCGTTTCTTGGATGTATAAGGTGCAGGCTTGCAAGATTGTTCCTTGATTTTGGAAGAGCTATTGTTGTGTGATTCTTGAAATTTGGTTCATAATGGTGTTGTGGTGTGATTTTTGGTGGTGTTAACTTGCAAGAAAGTGAGTAGTGGTAAAACCTCTTGTTGTTTAATTTTTGAGATTATCAATTGTAATGTTGGTTTGGTTACTTGGTTGTTTAATTTGTGATTATCAATTGGACAAAATTGTGGTTTGTGATTAATGAATGCGCGTACTATTATGTTTAGATTAATAGTACAAAACTATATGGTGTAATTTTGATCAGGTCTATGTTCTACAAAATTCCAGTATTACTATTGGGATGTACTCAATTCAAGTCTAAATAGATACTAAGCTTAGACTCAATAAAATTCAAATCGAACAAATCAAATTGCCAATAATAGTTATAATTGTTAATACAAAAAGAATATATTTAAGAATCAATAATGAGAAACGAGAATCACGTACCAACCTACCTAACCACTGCATTTGCCAGCACTGTATCAAGGTTTTTGGTGGCCACGTCTTATTATTCTGCTCGATTTAATTTAATTTTCTTTTCTTTAATTTCCACATTTTCTCAATTTTATTTTGGATAAATTACGGTCATCCCTTGAGGTAATGTTAAATTACAAAATACTTCTTCATGTTTGAGTAATTACAATCGTTCCCTAGCTAAGAATCTTCATACACGTAGATCCTTGTGGTATTAAATTTAGTGGAATATTCTATAGCTTGTACCTGTTTTATTCCATTCGAGCTCTATATTTTTGAAATAAGATGATCATAAAATGTGTCTCTTGGCTTGTAAATATCATATTGTGGTGCATTATAAACTGTATTTTTGCACATAACAAGTACAAATTGGAGAACATTCAACGGAATAAAAAAATTCTGCTGAATCTAACACCATAAAGATGAACATATAAGAAAATTCGTAGTTGAATGATGAATTACTGCCCAACTAGGAGTATTTTTTTTCTTAATTTAGCATTAGCTCACAGACGACCGTAATTTAGCGTTTTATTTTTAGGGCGAATGGCAAAAAGACCCATCATATGCGACTTAAATGCACATTGGTCCACAAAAAACACAAAAAAAATAGTCTCTCAATTAAACTCATCCCCATGTCTTTAGTCTAAAATACCCTCCATAATATAACTCTTATCAATTCCATCCATTATGCTCTAACTTCCTTAATATTACACATTGACCCCGGATTTAAACAAATATATCACACTTAACCCTCAATATATTTTTTTTTCCGGTCAGATTCCGGCATTGACTTTTTTTTTTTGTGAAAACTTTTTTTTCCTCAATTTTTTTCCGCCCGGTCAACCACCGTTGACATTTTTTTTTTGAATTTTTTTTAGAATAATATATTTTAATTAATATTACTGTCTTGGCTACTAAATTACTGTCTCAGACAGTAATATTATGAATATTTTTTTTCCGAACAGTAATATTATTAATATTATTGTCTAAGACAGTTAAATTACTGTTGGAGACAGTAATTTACCAGCCAATGCAGTAATATTAATTAAAATAATTTTTTTTAAGAAAAAAAATTTCAAAAAAAGAGAGTCAATTAACAGTTACATTACTGTCTCCGACAGTTAAATAACTGCTGGAGACAGTAATTTAGCAACGAATACAGTAATATTAATTAAAAATATTTTTTTAAGAATAAAAAAGTCAATTAACAGTTAAATTACTGTCTCCGACGGTTAAATAACTGCTGGAGACAGTAATTTAGCAGCAAAGACAGTAATATTAATTAAAATATTTTTGAAGAAAAAAAAATCAATTAACAGTTAAATTACTGTCTCCGACTGTTAAATAACTGCTGGAGACAGTAATTTAGCAGCCTAGACAGTAATATTAATTAAAATAATTTTTTTAAGAAAAAACAAAATTATATATAAAAAAAAATCAACGCCGGAGACCGGTGGTCAACGACGGTCTCCGGCGGTCTCCGGTGGTGGCGGGTCAAAATTGATATTAAGGTTAAAATTGGTTAATTGATGAAATTGAGCTAAATTGGGGTGTAAATCATGAAATTTGAGTTGAATTGAGTTTCAATGAATTGGGAGTAATTTTGGTATATATAAAAAGATTTTCCTTATTTGCAAATAAGTTTGAATGAACTGGATTTATTTGAAAGACAAAAAAATTAAATATCCATCTTTTAATTAAGTGTCCTTATCATGAGCCTTCTTGTGTAACCCTTATATTTTTATGGAACTATGATAAAAATGGAAATAATTGCAACTTTTTTTAATGAAAATAATTGCAACTAGAAAACAAAATAAGCAATTCAAAGAGAAAATAGTTTTCTTTACGTTTCTCTCTCTACTTCTCTCTAATCACTTTTTTAGGATATTTACAAATAAAATAAAAACACGTGAAGAAATAAGAAACGCACACCTGTCCCATCTCTTCATCTGCTGTGTCGATCCACACATATACAAAACCTAAGCTCTGCTCTCTCTCCTCTCTTTCTCTCTCTACACTCTGCAAAACAAATACAGTTAGTAAAAAAACTCCGATCCTCCGAGACTGAAATATGAGCTGGTGGTGGGCTGGAGCTATCGGCGCTGCAAAGGTAAATCCTCTCACACAATCACGATCGTTATTTTGTAATTTTTTATTATTTTAATTGCTTGTAATTTGATTTGTTTTAATCGATTGAAAAATCAGAAAAAAATCGACGAAGATGAGCCACAGCAGAAGCATCAAGCCGTAGCCCTAATAATCGGTGTCACCGGAATCGTCGGCAACAGCCTGGCGGAGATCCTGCCCCTCTCCGACACCCCCGGCGGTCCATGGAAGGTCTACGGCGTCGCCCGCCGCCCACGCCCCACCTGGAACGACGACAACCCGATCAACTACATCCGGTGCGATATATCCGACCCGGACGATATTCAGGCCAAGCTCTCCCCTCTCACCGACATCACCCACGTATTCTACGTCACCTGGGCGAACAGATCCACCGAGGTCGAGAACTGCGAATCCAACGGCAAAATGCTGAAGAACGTCCTCGATGTAGTGATCCCTAATTCCCCCAATTTGAAGCACATCTGCTTGCAGACTGGTCGGAAGCACTACATCGGCCCGTTCGAATCGTACGGGAAGATCGAAACCCACGACCCGCCGTACTCCGAAGATTTGCCCCGACTGAACTACATCAACTTCTACTACACCTTGGAAGACATTCTCTTCGCCGAGGTGGAGAAGAAGGAGGGTTTGACTTGGTCCGTCCACCGCCCGGGCAACATATTCGGATGCTCCCCGTCCAGCATGATGAATCTAGTCGGAACCCTATGCGTGTACGCCGCCATATGCAAGCACGAGGGTTCGGTTCTGAAATTTCCGGGGAGCAAGATCGCTTGGGAGGGTTACTCCGATTGCTCCGATGCTGATTTGATAGCGGAGCATCAGATATGGGCGGCGGTTGATCCTTACGCGAAGAATGAGGCATTCAACGTGAGCAATGGCGATGTGTTCAAATGGAAGCATTTCTGGAAAGTGTTGGCTGAGCAGTTTGGGGTGGAGTGTGGCGGTTATGAGGAAGGGCAGAAGCTGACATTGGTGGAGATGATGAAGGATAAAGGTCCCGTTTGGGATGAGATTGTGAAGGAGAATGGTTTGACGGAGACGAAATTAGGGGATGTTGGAATTTGGTGGTTTGGTGATGTTATACTTGGATCGGAGTGTTATTTGGATACGATGAATAAGAGTAAGGAGCATGGGTTTCTTGGGTTTAGGAATTCGAAGAATTCGTTGATTTCTTGGATTGATAAGGTCAAGGCTTACAAGATTGTTCCATGATTTATTTTTTGTTGGGTTCGGTTTTCTTGGTTTTGTTGTTCGTGGAAGGTCTTTTTTCGTTGTGTTTGTCGAAGAAAGGGAATAATGGTGAGGATGAAGATCATGCTGAGTTCTTGCTGATGTTATTACTGCAAGAAAGAGAGCGAATGTAAGATGTGTTATTGTTGAACATTGTGGTGTGTCTTCGTTTATGTATCCTGCCCCGATTAATTAGATGAATATGGTTTCGTGATGGGATTATTTACTTTTATAATAATAACGTGCTGCAGTATGTGTATTGTAAGAGTTATTTGTACGTTTTTTCTAGTTCGAGCTCGTTTTGGTTGTTTACAAGATGAAGTTCAAATGCTATCGAATATATCCCTGTTATTCCCAAACATTTGAACAATAAAAGGATATTTAAATGTACAGGGATCTTTGCTTAAACTTACTGCAACCTTGAACAATAAAAACAAACAAAAATCCATACATGACTTGGTGAATTTCCAACTATCATAAACACTGATAGCAAATTCGAAAACCAGAATTAAACCTTCAAAAACAAGAAAAGAATGACGCTGTATTCGGTGTTAGAGGCTACATTTCAACGAAAAAGAACGAAAAAAAAAGCTCTCTTTGATCAGAATACTTCAGCACTATGATTTATCTACACCAGAACCTCTATACAAGATGATGATCATGCCTTCTACTTATTGCCGCACATGTTAACCCTCGTATCTCGATTCCTAGTTGGGGAAAATCTTGTCACCTGAATTTTCCACACGTTCATCGGAATTGTAAGTGAAGATGTCGACGGGTGAGGTAATACCGCCAGATGTACCTAGCTTATTGGACGAGGTTTTTTGATGATCAAGAAAAATCACAACAACAGTGATGTCATCGTGGAAATGCCTTCTTATTCCCCTCTCAATCTTCTTGATATCTCTATACCTCACTTCCCTTTTCTTTGCAGCTTCTTGAAGAGCTGCTGCTACTAATCTCTTGGCTATCCCCTGCAAAAACAATATTCTAATTATTATTTTAAAATAATTAATTAACAACCAATTTTTTTTTTCTTTTCGAATATATAACATTCGATGTAATAACTTACAGCTCGTGGGTACTTTGATACTATTTGAACAGCTTCATCATCACTGAGCTGTTCCCATAGCCCATCAGAGGCGAAAATAAGGAACAAATCTTGTGGTCTAAGCTTTCTAGTAACAATGGAAGGTTCTGCTGACAATACAGGTCGCTTCATCGGAACATAACTTCCGTATTGTAGGAACATTGGGTCTCTGTGAAACTCGGGTTTCTTCAAATACACGTCCCCGATTGATCTAGACACCTGAATAGAAAATTTGAAAGGAAATTAGTTAGGGGATTATGTTTCAAGAAATTGATGTTTAACAAACTAAAAAAGAGACGGGTAACAAGATTAGAGGGGGTGATGATGAACTTGTTTATCTCACACGGCCATTATAAATACCTCAAACTGGAAAAGAAAGAAAAATAGAGACCCTAAAAAGCTAAACGAGCTTCCGCTGGAATCACACGACTTTGCTTTATAAGAAGATCTCCATTGTACATCTCATGTGAGGAAGGCAAGTCAATGATGCTACTTTGACTTCAACTACATGAGACAGGCAAAGGCAGAGCATGTGATTCCTGGAAGAGTAGCCAAGACATAATAACCCTTTTAGAACATTAATCAACCGTTTGTGCCTCTTTACCGTCACCCTCTCGTAAACAATACACGAGATATACGTAACAGAAAAAAAAAAAAAAGAGAGAGAGCAGAACAGGGCAGCAGCATATACGTAACTTCTTAGTTAACTCATGAATAGAATAATAATACATGATATTCTCCTCTCCAACGGGTGAGTGAGAATTGCATCATGAATTCCACATCAACATTGAATGAAACAACCTCTAGTCTCACTCAGTCAAACAGCATGAAGAAGAATTTGATAAATAGTCAACAGAGAGGCATGCTCGTAGTAGCTTCTTCTCTAAATTTACACAATTTAAGAGGAATATTGAAACGAATTAAGGATGTTTTTTCGCATTCAATAAATGCATGACTACGAAATTTTACCTGAATTATTCCCTTGATTCTCCAAACTCCTCGGCAATAAACCACGACAGGCATGTCGTCTTGATGAAGTGCTTCAACCTCCCTCCTCACATTCTCAGACGAAACGTTATGGTCTGTGGACAATCTTTCGGCCACCATTTTTTTTTCTCCATCAAAGCCTCTCCTGCCAAGAACAGCTCTCGAGTCTCCCAAGTTAGCCACATACAAATTACCGTCTGAAATTGCACCGACCAAGACACACGATCCAACGGAGGCCATCTGAGGTTTGGATGGAAATGATCTCTTCACTAAATGAGTAAAATCTTCTTCTGTAGCAGAAAAGGCCTTCTTTATTACATCTGATGATAATCCCCCTTGCTCCTTTACAAACTCTACAAGAATCATAAAAAAAATCATTGATATAGTTAGTCTCTGAAAGTCGAACAGAGTACCAATGGAACTACACAAGCAATTAAGCAAAAAACTCATTCCATCAAATCGAATTTGTGGAAGAATCACACGAAAAAGTTATTTACCAAAATAAATGAATATAGCAGATTAACCCTCACAACATCGATTAAAAAACTAAAATAAAAAAATTAACCCTTACAACGGAGGTAAAATTCAAAATACAAAAACCTCTCTAAAGTCTAATCCCTTATAAGAAATAAGATCAAATTCCACCAAAAATAAAAAAAAAAAAATGAAAACAGGAATCCGCACTGAAACAAAACCCCCAAATCATAGGGAAAAAAAAACCTAGAAAAAAACAAGGAAAAACGAAAGAGAGATAAAAAAAAGTTACTGTGGAGGTAAGGGAAGAGGTGATTGTTAACAAAGCGTGCGGTCTCAGGTCCACCATGTCCGTCGTATACGCCGACGTAGGTGGCGGTCGGCGACGTGTAAACCTGACTCTGATCCTCGAGGCTGGAATTCGCCTG